TCGTGTGTTGGTACATATACGTGTGTTGGTACATATACATGTGTTTGTATATATACGTGTGTTGGTACATATCCGTGTTGGTACATGTCCGTGTGTTGCTGTGATCTGAAACTTTTTCCCTCTTAAGTGAAAACAGAATCTGTGCCGTCCTTGTGCAACGTTATACTTGTTTGGGTTAAGTGGTTAAGTTATGTAATGCCTTTGACAGATTGAATGCTCCATCTCATTTTGGTTTACCCTATAGGATAGAACATTGAATCTGATGCCTCGTAAAGTCCTGAACATTCCTTATATGTATAACATTGCTCCGGCTGTGTACTTGTCTTGGACTTGTGGAGTATTGGTCAGCTAATGCAATTATACTCACATCCCTCCCAAATGCATACAATATTACACCGAAATTGGGAATTTTCTACCCTCTTTGCAATCTGATCCAGATACCAGGAGAAGGTTGGCTGGGTACCAGCTGCTTTTCTTCAAGTCTATACTGGTCCAGTGGATGTTGTGGTTAGCACTCCAACCCAACGTGTTGGTAACGTCATGAATGTATCAGACATTGTCAAACGCCAGGCTGCAGGGGCATCTAAGAACAGTCCTCAGTTAGGAAGGAGAGGTTTGTATTCAACATACTTCCATTTCATTAAAATAAACCCCAGAAAACCAACAAAATTAATTCATTTTTCTAATCTTAACAGTTGGTGCATAGGTGTACACTAGCTTAGATGCAGTTCAATTATTAAATTATCATTGTCGTAGGATATTATTGAGGGTTTGTGCATGTCTGTACATGTCATATATAGAGAACATTATGTGGTATGTATGTTTCAGTCATCTCAGAATTGATGGAAACAAGGAATCAATCGTGTACTGGAACTTACTTTTTGAAACTAGCAAATGTAAGTTTCAGAAATTAATTTAGTCCTTGATTCCATTATTCTAGCATCGGATGAATTTTTTTCTTTTTATCATGACGCTTTTTTTTTTTACAGTTTTTAGCATGCACATTGGTTCATTTGAGAGATTATAATCCTATTACTTTGATGTTATGCAGACAAAGATTGATGGTTAGGATGCAAACTGTGCTGACAGTGGTAAGAAGTGAGAATCAAAAGATTTAGTTATGAGGTATAGCTTCCAGCCAACTCGACAGTCAATTGTGATCATAATGGTGGCCTCATTCCATTCGATTATTTACAGATAACTCATATGGTCAGGGAATAGAAGCAAAGCCAACACCGCCAAGACGAAGCACAGTCAGGGTAAGGACTGTTATTACGTAGAAGCTTGCATTCTGGCACCAGTGACTGATTTGAGATTTACCTTAAGATGCACTTCGCTGCTGATAAGAGTCTGATCAGATGATGTCAAAATACCATCTGACCGCACGGTGCCCCAAGATTGGCCACCATCGTAGAACATGTAGAAGATAACCGTTTAGATTGCAACCATATATTCCACATTGTAAACTTGAGAATAAGGCTTAGAAAGTAACTGGGAATTCCTTCTCAAATGGCATAATGGTCACCTCCAGTATCATGTATGGTTTTCCTTTCTGTGCCAATCCAGCACCCGAATGCTGGCTCTGTTTTTTTACCATTTACAAGTGCTGTGAAGGCTTGCCTGTGACCTAAATATTATGCATAGTGCAGGTTTTGCCTATGTGGGTCAGTGAGCTCGCCCTATATTCATTCCAAATAGGGCTCAAGTCAGAACTGTGATCTAAATTACATCATAAAACCTTACAATGCAGACTTCTTGCAGCGCATATCCTTTTAAATTTGATCTAAAATTCAGTCTTTTCTGCTAATAGTATAAAGCCCACTTTTGTGCAAACAGTGATTTCTCCTTTGTTTAATGCTTATGTCTTCATTCACATAGCTCACACAACTCGGTGGAAACTTTTTTTTTGTAGAGTAAATACTTCATGCTGGAAATTTGTACACACATTCTAAGTAAATTGCATCATCATGCGACTTGTCTTTAAAAACTGACAAAAGGGCTTGGGAAACATCTTTCACAATTCCTCATTGGTCACATTTATACCTCACCTTGATTTTCAGACTCCTGTTTGGCAAATAGCTATCCGTAGTACTTTTAAATTTTTGTGCCTTTGTTAACCCTTGCAACTGTCTTTTCCAACTTCTGCTTCATATTGCTTTGAATGCAGCCAGGCCAACACAGAAATGATGAGGTGTGTGGGGTGACAGAATTTATCCTTGCATGTCATACTTTATGGTGTGTGTGTGAGTGTGTAAAAACCTTCAATCGTGGACCTATAACAATAGGGGACAATAGGGTCAACGGTTGCCGAGGAGTCCACGGTTGGAAAACGTGTACAAAACATATGGGAGGTCTTCCAAAAAAGTTTAAAGTATGAACAAAAGAGGAACAATAGGGAGTCCATGATTGAAGGCATTTACACACTTGTTTGTGTGTGTGTGTTGTCTTCATACATGGTGTCCAAAAATTTCCAAGTGACACAGAAGCACTGTCTGCATTTCCTTAATATGCCTTAGGTACTTTTTATTCTAAGGTGTGATGTACTGACTTAAGTATTTCATTGTGACACATGAAGTTTGAAATCCTTATAAGTACACACACTGGTACTGGGGTAAAGACATAGTTCCTGGTAATTTCTGTTGTACAAAGTAAGTTACACCAAGTAGTTATGTTGATGTTTGACCATACAGTAGAGCAAGGAACACACTCATTTTGTTTGGCTCGATCACCAGTATTGTTGTTGAGTCTGTTACAGATCCTTTCATAACTTGTATCACATGCCCTTTCATTCAACTATGTGAAAAAGGTCAGGCGGAAAATAACTTGGAGAGCTTGAATTGTGACAAAGAAATGCTTTGTCACAGTTTTATGTGAATAGTTTGTGGCTTGTCTCAACATGACAGACTTGCGATGTACTCGACCACAACATAGTTGATCATCTTTTGAGCTACAGTAATGACGTCATGCCCACACCCACTGTGTCATTATTCCATGTCATGCTTATTTTGTACAAAAGGTCTTTTACTTGTTACCACTAACCTCCTCATTTCCCTGTGTGCTGTTTCACGCCCTTTTTATAGTCACCAATGTTATGCTTTCCTGCGACAGTCTTGTGCAAACTCCAGTGGAAACATAGTGGCAACTAATAGATGATCTAGTGAAGTATGGGCAACCCATTAGTGGCAGTTCTGCAAGTTTTGCTGGCACATAATGTGACCAAAATTCAAGTCTTTAAGTAACTACAGTACAGAATAACTGTTCTGTTTAGAGCCAATATGTGCCCCATCAAGCTGAATCGGATGTACATGTACGTCGGGTTTGCATGGCATGAAACAACTGTAAATACCTGGATTCCCTCCTGGACAGGATGCCAGTCTGTCACAGGTTGCTCCCAAGCTAATGCCAGTACACATTCTCATTTATACTGGTGGGAAGAAACAAGCTGGGAGAAATAACTTGTCACAGGTTTAAAGAGCCAATGGCCACATCCAACCCCCATTTGTCTGATCAGGGGTCACGAACTCTAACCACTTAGGCCACATGCTCTCACCACTGAGATCAAAGTGCAGGTTTGAGTTTGTGCATCCAGTCTTGAACACAATTTTATTCAAACAATTTAAGTTGCAAAGTCTGTTTGATTTTTCCTTGACATTTTTGATAAATGGAATGGATGAAAAGACACAGTTCATTTTGTCAAACTGGTTTTTCAGTTGAACTGCTTAATTGATTAGAGCATTCGTGTGTTGTCAGACGCTAAACCCTGTTTACCAGGTGTGGCCAGCATGTAAACCCCTTGAAGTACTTCACTTTCAGCATGTTTCATAGTGTGCGCCACATTGATGATGCAAAGACAAGTGTTCCTTGAACCCATTATATGTTTCCTTTCTTCCTTCCTTCATCAAACAGTTGTCTGTTCAGTTGGTCTGTCTCCACAATTCCCTCTGATAATTCCATGTTCTTAATAGCTTGCCAGCCATTCCCATTTCCTGTCCATGTATGGCTCCATTGATGTGTCGTTTGTACCACATGTACATACATGTATATACTACATTGCACATACAGAAATCACAATCTTTAAATTCTAAGTATAGCTTATATTCTGGACTTTCTTGGTAATAGATTACACTGTGTGTGACGTAACCTTGGTGTGCTTTACCCATGTGACATTGCCTCTCATTCCAAGTGTTTCTTTGCCGTTCTCATTTCTGTAGTCGTGAGGGGAATCAAATAGAAAAATTCTCTCTCTTTTGTAATTACTGAACAATATTTCATTCTAAATGAGATTGGGAGATGGTTGCTAATGTTCTGTCCAAAAGAACATTTTTCCTATTAAAAATTTTCCCAACTTGCAATATGTGGTAGAATTTTGGTCCTGAAATCTTTGTTCACAATTTAACTTTTTTTTCGGCCATCCTCTCCTGACTTTGGGTTTAAAATACACTTTTGTTTCCACAGCATTGCATGTGTTTTGATGGGCTCATTCGTCCTAACCCCATTTCATTTTTAATTTGCATTCCCACATTCAAGTTGTTGGACATCTGTATTCCATGATTGTTAGAGATGTTACAAATTCATGTAAAAAATGGGAAGATGCAATTGGTTCTCTTGTTGGGTCATAATCAAGTGTTGTGAATTTCATAGGTCCATTTTGAAGCAATTTGAAGCATTATCAAGCCACGATGTTAGCATTGGATTTAAAATTAGGGACACAGCGTCCACACACAAAATTATTTGTACGTGAATACGAGTACATATGCATTTGAGTCCAGTCCTGATGAATCCACTGCGAGTCAATCACATGTCATCTAGTCATTTAAACAGAGATGGACTTGCAACTCTAGTCAGCAACTCTGACTTTGTTTAAAGAAACCATTACATAGACATGGACAAGTCTACACCCTACTAGGATCTTTAACTCCATGCTTGTTATTTGTCTGTTTTGTTATTTGAATTGCTTTCACTAGAAGAACTGTACATTATCTGTTGGGAGATACCAGGCATTCACATTTGCCTTACCACCGGAAAAGTGCATTTGGAACCATTGTGCCTCTATTAGTGATTAATATCTTGTTTATTTTAATCCATCTTGTGAAATGTGTTCTAATCGGCGTTCTTTATTCAGGGGTATTATATGTTAATGCTACCCATTTGAAAGTAATAATATATACTTATTTTGTGCTTTTTGTGTATAGAGAACTGTAAGGAAAGGAGCCACACGAAAGCTTAAACCACCAGTGAAGAAGACGGTGGAGTACTATACTGTGGCTGACTTCTCAGACAGCGCTGGGGATAGCATCAGCTTCCACAGTGGTCAGAAAGTAGAGGTAATGTCCGACAGATGTTATGCATAGGCAGCAGCAAAGGGGGGGCAGCAGCCACTCCCACTCTGTGGCTTCTTGCTGTGGTCGATAGCAGCCACTCCTACTCTGTGGCTTCTCGCTGTGGGCTACTCTGAAGAATTCTTGAGGACACACCTTCTCTGCCCGAGAGGCACTTGCATTTTGGAAAGCCGTGACACCCCATTGGTCCTTGAGGAATGTAACGCTCATGAGCTTGGTGCTGCTGCAGCATTGGCTTCTAATTCTGGTCACTAGACTGGATCTTTGCCAAAGAGCCTGGTGTTCCATTGTCTAGCACCATACTGTCAGAAACAGTGGTGTAGATATCCGTGGTGTTGACTTATACTGGATGTGATTTACAAAAGTAACAACATAACAAGGAACAAGGAATCAAGCAACTGAAACAGGAATACAAAAAGATAGTGAAAGCAATAGCAAAAGTATGAATATTGTACCAAGGAAAGGAAACTCCTGTCTGGAATTCTTGTTTTTGCAGATGTTTGAAATTTGATTTAAACACAACCTGTGTGGGTGAACTGTAGTATTAGAATACTGGGTTACCATTAGTCGTGACTTTGGCAGTGAATGGACATTTCCTTTTCCACAGGTCATCCAAGAGACGGAGTCTGGTTGGTGGCTTGTCAAGATTGGAGACGAAGAAGGCTGGGCACCGTCTTCATACCTAGAAGCCAGGGAAAACACAGCAGTGGCTGAGACCAGACCACAGCGAGCCTTCATGGAGACACTGGATGAAGAGACTGGTGAAGCGAGACCTCGTCCCCCAAGGCCTCCAATGCCAACTGGTAGAAAGGTCAGCGGAAGCGGTGCCATCAAGCCAAGCCAGGACACATCCAACAGCAGCAGTAAAGCTGGTTTAAGGCCGGTGCCCATTCCAGTTGGTCCTACGAATAATGGTAATGCTAGTGCTTTCAAACCTTTCCTGCCAAATAACAGTGGCAGACCACTGCCTGTTGCTCCTGGGTCAAAACCAGCCACCCGCGCGCAACCCAAACCGCTCAAGCCCAAGCCCACTGACCGGTCCGACTCCCCCCAGAATGCCCAGGCCAACCTCAGACCATCCAGCGGTCAAGCCAGGCCACCACCAATCGACCGTCAGACCAAGCCAGGGGCTCAAGCAGATGGCTCCAGCGTGCAGCCATTGCAGATCAACGAGCTCAGACGCCAATTAAAATCCTTGAATGTGCCCACCTCCCCCAGCGGCCAGACACCTTCCAACGTCTATGTAACAACGGCTGCTTATGAAAATTCTGATGATGATGGGTTGAGTTTTGAAGAAGGAGTACAAGTGGAGGTTATAGAAGAAAATGAAACTGGTTGGTGGTTGGTTCGTATCGGCAGAGAGGAGGGCTGGGCTCCTTCAACGTATCTGGAAAAGGACTAATAACACTTCTTGTGAGCAAGGCTTGTGGTTCAAGTGATTTTTTCCTGCACTCACAATTTCAACAGACATCTGTCTGTACAGTGTTGCATCTAGGTTTCGATACTTTTAATTATTTTTTAAATAGAAAAAGCTTCACACAAAAAATATTCGTAAAGGATGGATTCAAAGATTGAAACACTTTCAAAATACTAATGGGGTACCCTTATTCTAGCTAGATTTTGTTTTTGTGCTACTAAAGAAGACTTCTGCCAGAGTTGCAAAGTCAGTCTTTTTTGTCAACTACATGTACTCATAAATTTAATTAAAGTGAAAAAAAATCTGTGAACTTCATGGAGTGTGTAGTGGAAAATCAGGCTTTAGCCAGTGGGATACTGCCATGCACACCAATTTACATTGTTCAGTTCATGCTGCACTGGTGTTTGTATTGACTAGAGATTGAATATTTGAACTTCTGCTGGATTTGTTATTTCAAAGTAGGGCACCATACATTCAGTCATTTCACTGAAACGTGTGAAAAAAGGCTCAGGTCAAAACTAAAGATCTGGCTGGACAATTGTGCAAAGTGTTGGCTTGCAGGGGTCGAACAGGGATTGTAAAATACATTATTAGACTGGATTCTACGGGGCATAGTTAATTCCAGCATTATATTGGTGTCAGTATCGATTGATAGTGTCATGTCCCGCTTAGAAAACGTAAACTGTTTAAGGAAGTACTATGTGGATGTGTATTTTCACTTACAATTTTACAACTTATATTTTTGTATGTTCCTTGAAGGATGTCTTTTACTGTCACATTTTAAGCTATTTTTTATAAAATTAGAAAGGTTAAAATTTATAATTGTCATAAAGATATCAACTTTTGATGCAGTTTGGAGTGAAGTTTTTATTGAATTATATCCATAAATGTTGAGATTTCCATGCACCTTAAGATCTTGAAACCCGTCATATGATTTGTTGATGTGTCCAGTTGTGTATTTGAAAAAACAAAATACATGTACCACTTGATCTGAGTAATGTGTTTATTATTGGAAGCAGTCATGTGTTTAAGCGGTAATGTAACAGTCATCCAACATAAGCATTTTGTAGCAGTCCCATCTGCTTGTAAAACAAAAAGGTTCACTTCATTCACTGCTGACAAAGAAAAATATTAGATTAGACAAAGGTCAAAAACATCAATGTTGCAATAGTGTTATTCAGTCCTGCCATAGCAACCAGCTTGTACTTGTTACCATTTCACAAAGTCATTGCTTTCCTGAGGTATGCTGTAATGAATTTATGTTTCATTTTCATTTTTTATGGGTTGTGAAAGTGAAAGAAGGAAACCTTGGTTTTTGTGCAGACAACATTCTTCCACATTGTGCTCTTTTTTTCTTTTTGTTTGTGTGTGTGGGGGGTTTCATTGAATATTTCATGCCAAGTATATAGTGATGATTAAATTGCTCTTTCAGGGGTGTGAATCTCTGCTAAGAATGGCTTGCCACCAAGAGAGAGAAAATCAATCTTAAGCCAGGTGGCTGCCAAGGTCTAAACAAAACATAGACACAGATCAAACCTTCCTGCCTAGGCAGGTTTGATCCAATTGAGCTTTTCATTTGGTTGTATATGTCCATGCACTTCGTTGTTTTTTGGGGCCAATGTTGAAAACCCTGAACATTCAGGATCAATCAACAGGCACTACAGCCCTTTTCTCATTAGATATGATCTCAAAATCTGTGATCATTGTGAGCACATGTCAGTGAAAATCAGTTTGCAAACGTTTCAAGCATTTTCAGAAAAATACCTCATGTAACAACCTGAGCATTAAATTACAGTCAACTGTAGAGACCAGACAAATTACTTTGTTATAACCAGGACTTGTTATAAATGGAATGGAAAAATAAAGAAAAACGTATGAATTCCAGAAATTGCGATTCACAAAATTTACTCTTTATAAAAGTATTTTTTGGTTAGTGTTTAGTGTTTTTTATATCAAGAGTTGACTGTATTAAGACCAAGAATCAGAATACTTATTACAGATGACCATTTTCAAGTAAGCTGTTCAGACAAACTTTGGGAACTGCATTGTACTCACTGCAAGAAATCTTATGTTGGCTCTGATTTTTCAGTTCATGTTGATGAGCCGACAAGAAGGGTTTCAGTGTGATGGTATATTATCTTTTTAAATGAACTGTTTAAAAATAATTTCTATGTGTAAATGTATTTAATGTCTAAAGGAATGTTTAGTTTTGTACCATACGGTGACCAATGGCATTATTTTCAGTAAAGTTATACAATGTCTATTTTTTCACAGGGAACATGTCTCTGAAATTTATTTCTTATTAGAGGTTAAGGGTAAAGGTGGAGATTAAAATCTGAAGGTTAATAAAATAGTCATCACCAGGCAAAGTACAATACAATGGGATTTATGAGTGTTTCCTCAAAGTTTTAGCTTGTGATTTCTTGTTACCCTTTCCATAAATTATTTTAGTTCAAATGATTTGCTAATTTCGAACAGTTAAAACCTTAAGTCTGAAAGTTTAAAGGAGATAATGAACATCAGAATTTAATCCGATTTAGTTTCAGATTTATCAATTACAAAGTGTCCTTGGATGTTCCTCCATTTTTTTCGAAAGCAATTATTTAGGGCTGCAGCTGGGTTGCTATGTATAGTGGACTGTGGATTGCAAAAATATTATTAAAAGCCAATAAACCATTACAAGTAAAGTTTAATGAGAGATAAGAGACATATTGATATCATAAACTTTAGTTGAAACCACAAGTGTACAATCAGCCTTCAGTTACATAGCATATAGGGAAGGTGTGGGGGGTATGCTATCCGATAAAAAAAAACCCCAGTTGCTATCAATTTGGAAGACAGACAAAATGACTGAATTATTCTTTAAAAAATGCAGCCTCCATCACCTTTGATACAAATTCTGGCAACTCCACTCAAAATGCTCACAACGTCAGGGAAGGGGGTCAAGATAATTGTGCAGGGGACAGCTGAGATCTAAGAGACAAATTCTACCCCCCCCTCACTCCTCACACAGCTGTGATGGTCTGAAATAATTAGAGTTTAAAAAATTGCAACATCACAATCAATAAGATTCTCTAGTTGTATGTGTAAAATAAATTAATCTGATGGCAGATTAAGTGAAGTAAGGCAACTGAATGTAAGGCCTATTTTTTCATCAACTCAGCTTTGTGTATCAAACTGGTTTCATTAACATTCTTTGTCAAAGGAAGCCACTAATCTTACCAAAACAAATTCTTCAAATAAACTTCCATCTATCCCCAAATAATCAAGTACAAAATGCAAACATTCAAATGGTAAACTTATTCCAACCAATTCCTGGTGCTCCGGCCCCCAGGTGCCCCCCCCCCACTGAAAAAAACGGAGGAATGGGTATTGAACAAGGCTGCCCCCCAAAAAACACACCACAGAAATCTGGTGCCCCCCTAAGACGCTGGTGCCCTTTGTGCCCCCCCCCACCGGTAAAATCCTAGCTACGCCACTGGCACTAAGCATGTGATGAAAGGTCCTAACCTTGGCTTTGAATTTAATTGGTACTACCAAAAAAAAAAAAAAAAAAAGACTGGAAAACAAAACACAAATAGCTCCCAAATGATTGTCCCCTGGCACCCCTCTCATTTTTAATGATTTGTTGCTGCTGATTGGAATTTTTTTTCCTGACACACATCTGCTTTAAAAAAAACACTAAAACGTACTATAAACACTAGTGTAGGGTACATTCGTCCTGAAGCCTTCAAATCCAATTTACAGCCCTCCCTTCACCAGAAGAGTAAAAGCACAAAAAAAGAACAAAATAGTAAAAATATTCCACAATTGTCACCCATGCCACGTACTCTTTAAAAAACTTTTTTTTAGGATAGTTTGATTTGTACCATACCCTTGTGCTTTTGCCACTATTATATTGGATATCTTATGGGAGCATGTTTACACCATGCAAGCATGTGTTCCCTGCATAGTCCAAAATAGGAAGTGCACGTGCGAACGTGATAAAACCCATCTTATTTTAAACTGTTGGCACTCCATACTTCGGTCTCGCTAAAACTGCGTTTTTCTCGCGAGATTAGTCAGTTTAAAGATGGCGACTTCCAGATCGTGATACATGTGCTCACAGCTTGTATGGGAAAAACTTGTCTAAATTCCTTTCTCGATCGCTGTCTTGCATTGAAACCGTGAAAGTAGTGAATCAGGTATAAATTCTTTCATATAATGATTTTAGCATATAATTGGTTCCATTAGGGCTTTAATTTTTGTTGTCCGCTTTGCTCCCACGCGCGCGGCGGACGCCCCTGTGGCATGGACATGATGGACGAGTTACGACGAACCACACGTCACAGCACAGTTCTGGGGGCAGTAGCCTATAACGTTAACCATGATAACACGATCTCACGATCAGACGACCCTATCAACAGAACTGCAAGTCACTAGTTCTCCGTCTGTCTTGCAGCTCTTATACGGGGTGGTCATCATGGTCATGGTCGTATAGTTGGACAATCGTCATTGTCAAGTACATGTATATCAATTTTCTTCTCATTATTGTCATGGCTGTTGTACTGGAATAGCTCAGTCGTGTTATTTTTTAGCATCAACAAGGCGTCAACAACTTGAAAATACCCTCTAAAGATTTCAAAGTGGTATTGTATTTTACAGATGCTAACAGTGCCACTGTGTAAGAGAAACAGGGAATTTTTGTCCAGATTTACACAGCAAAAACAAAACTTTCAGGGTGTATGGGGGTCGCCATGTTTCCTTTCTCAGCCCTCCTTGCGTAAACAAGACGGCGGCCAGTTGGGCTGCACAAGCAGAACTGACTTTGTCGCTCAAATTTCCACACTCGAATATCATTTTAAATGTGATATATGGAATATGAGAAGCTTAGTTAATATTATAAATACAATTTGCATAAACATGCTTGAATAACTTAGATGTATTGACCCTTGTTGATGCTAAATGGCATGACACCAATAGCTCAATTGATACCTTTGCTGTGAGGTGAACTTTTTTGTGTGCTGAGTTTGTGCCTTGCACTGTGCATCACTTTTTTAGTTTTAAAATGTTATTCCTGTATTATTTTCTCTGTTTTCCCAATCAAATGCTCTGTTAACTTTCCATACATGTTATTCTTTTCTAGTTTGGTAGATTCATATTCCTGGAAGATTTTTTTAATGGGAAACAAAGTCTGAGATCCACTTGTTATAGACTACGTAGTCTGGCTCCCTTTCCAATGCAGCAAAGTAGACAGCAACCCATCTTCAAATTCTGTAACTATAGAGTACCGAAGTATGACCTCATATTGAACCAGGAAGTGCAGTGCAAAGGAATGGAGTATGCACTTCTTGGTTCACGTGCTGGTTCAAAGTCAGCACGTGTAGATACGCTGTGCGTTGTTACTGTATGCAACTTTGAAATATGATTTACACCTGCAAGGTAGACTCAGAATTTCTTCCAGATTCACTAAGACTGTTGAAAGCACCCCCAATCACCAATAACATATTGTTGCACCGGCAGTGCATCTGAGCAATGTTGGAGAATATAATTCAAATCCAAACTTAGGCCAAGACAAAAGAGTTGTCACTGAGTGCAAATCATAGTTTTTTCTTTGAAGCAGTACATGCAGGGCTATGGATGAAGAAAGCTTTCCCCGTGGTCGTGGCAAAAACAAGATTGACTCATCCCTGACGCAAAAGCCTGTCAAGAGAAAACATGACCAGTTGGTTCTGTTTGAGGTAACTTTCATGATTCTTGCAATTCAAAGATGGTGGTTCAGTTATCACAATCTTTCTGATATCGCTGGTTTGTCGCTTTGGTTTCAATAGCATGATTAAACTGTTAGGGGAAAAACTGTGTGACCTGCATTAATGCATGGTGAAAAGTACTCTTGGGTTGTCATCATTGCAGTGCCGTACAGAAAAAATTAAAATGAGGAGTCACTGGCTCCTAGAAAAAAAGGTAAGGTGCTAGGTTGCTTTTTGTACATACTGTACACATATGCAAAATACACAAGTAACATGTACAAAATCTGACAAAACACACAGAAACATTATTCTGTCAATTATCCGCAGGACAGACAGGTTTTTGTGCTTGTGGAATTTATCAAAAATGACACCCATGTTATATGAAAAAAAAGCTGGAAGAAAAGACAAGGCATGTTTGTTCTCTTACGTTTGAGTATTTCGGACCTGGGACCGGACCGGCACTGGAATTGTGACATACATAGACTCCTAGTACATCTGAGTACAGATCTGTACTCTATACCGCATGCGACCACAAAAACAAAAACCAACCGTTTCAAATATAGTTTTATGCCATCAGCCGTGCGGGTTTTTAACCACTTTATGCTGGGGCATTTTTCAATGTTGATGATGCTGGGCCGGCATAATTATCATTTTTTCTTCAAAAATTTAGCATTTCATTTAACGGACGTTTATAGCAACACGAAGTAATCTTTAGGACTACTCTGAGTAGACAGGTGACCTTCATTGACGCCCGAGTATTTCAGCCAGGCCTGCAGCCTTGTAAAAAGAGTTCAGATTTTGCGGTGTTATGTAACTCTCTTTTGTTCACGAACCTGGCTCAGTGCACTGCTGACCTCTTTTCAATAGGGGCCAGATTAGCGTGCAGCGGTGCTGTGTGGCTCATCGTTGCGGTGGTGGAGCACTTTTGTCCCTGGTGGTAATCCGCTCGCTATAAATGCCCCAAACCCTGGTATACAGTTTCAAAACAAGGCTGGATTATTACCACTTTTGAGAGTGAAAAATGTTGATTATGCCCAGCAGTCTGGTCTTTTGTGTTCGGAGTACGGTCTTTTGTTACAGGGCCCTGTTTCCTTTGTCCAAGTTCAGAGACCCCGGCCACACATACAAATCATACTTCTCCGATTCCGGAGTCCCCAGCAGGAAGTGGTTAATAATGGGAATATTGAATCATAAAATAATTATGAATATTTGGTTTTACGAACAGATTTACACCATTATTTGTCTGTGTTTTTATTAATGGGATTTTATGAAATGAGTATGTGTATAGTTTCATTGTATGGTATTTTTAATGGAGTTATTTGTATGTTTATGCGAGTCCAACATTACAAATTTCTTTGATTGTTTTCTTTTAATCATTGGTTGAATAAATTAATCTTGAATTGAATCTTGAATTTAAACCAGTCGACTCGGGTACCTAGTACCTGTACATGCGTGTATGTACCTTTGTGTAAGCTATGCTGCAGTTAACTCGGGCTCATTTACATAGTAAGAGGGAGGAAAACCACGTGATCATATTGAGAGACATCGCTCGGTGCATGTAGAAGAAAACTGGGCAGGGCACAAATCATGGTCGCCATTGGCGATAAGAATTAAACATTTGGTCGAACATCATCATTTTTTTAGCCGCAAATGCAACTGTTTTGGTCGCACCGTACAGCACTGCATCCTTGTGGCTTTTTTCGGAATTTTCCTAAATGATTTGTGATTTGTTTTCCTCAGTGTGACAAATACAATTTCCACAAATGTCAAAGGAATTCTGTGCACTATGTTCTTGTAGGTTGCACATATTTTAAGATCTCCTAAAGGTATGTTACACATGTCCTATGCCAAATTTTGTTGTCTGTGTTGAGATGCTTCAGTTAATATTCAGTCAAGTGAGTAAAATTTCAACCTCTCTTGCCAGGATGATGGTGCATCAGGCAAGGAGAGGAAAGTGACACTCAGGAAGGAGAAGAAATCCAAGAAGCCAAAGCTGAGTGGAGATGATGATGAGGAGTCACTTCCGAAGCAGTTTGAGTATGATGAGGAGACAGAAGAACACATAGACAGCATTGGTGAGAGGCCTAAGGCTGCACCTGAGACTGTTCCAAAGTTCTCTCAACTCACGCACAAGGTATGGGTGTTAACCGTTTCTCAACAACGTTCATTCGGTTTGTCTGTAAAGTTTTGTTACTGACACAAACTATGTGTTAAGAACCTAATATGATTTAGATAATGTCCAAAGCAATTGATTGTTCATGTATGATTTGCAAAAGAGCATCAACATGTGCACTTCCAGATCATGCCTCTCATCTACTGGTTTCCAAAAAAATTCCCTTCTTATTTCCTTACATGTTGTCAAATTAAGTGCATTTTCCAACTTGTCTAGGTGTATATGTAAAAAAATCACAATGTTAAACGTGACTATTAATTCTTAATACTGATACTGTATATGAAAAATTTAAAGCCTTATAGGATTTGCTTGGCCATTTCTATGTCAAAGCCATGCAGTGCACTGATGACAGGAAGTCAGCTAACCGTTTATAGCCTAATGTTTTAACTTTAAATAAACACAGGCTACATTGGTGCATTGTACCCTACATATATACTGTACATATCCCGGTACAGGTGCAGTAGTTACCGGTATTTTACATCAGACTTTGCAGTGAAGTTACAGGACACAGCCCTGCGTCATACCCCAATGGGTGCAAGGGGGGGGGCACGTAGCGAATGTTTGCCCTCCAGAGCTGCATTCAGTATTTGAACTGTTAGCAGTGCAGTAATTTGAGTAATGTCCCAAACTGACTAGTGGTGCTAACTTTTAGCGCTGTAACCTTGGAATTGGCTGTGGAGATCACCTGGGTGGTAGTCTGGCCAAGTTATCCAACATTGTCACTTCCCAGGGTGGTATCTCAGGTTATAGAGTATGTCCATGTACTTTCCAATCCGTTTATCCCTGCCTCACTCCACACCATCCTGCCTATTACTCCCTGTATCACCCAGTGTCACAACTGGGGTACATCTATAGTTTGTGGGAGGGGGCACTTGGAGGGCCCTCATTTTCTTGAGGGGGGACACTCAATGGCTTGGTCACAGCTTAAAACTCTGACCAAGATGGACTATCACCAGGTTTTTTCCTTTTTTAATTTCTGAGTGGGAAGGGAGGGGGGAGGGGGAAAAGGACGAACATATAGGGGCACAGGGATCAAGCAGGGAGGTGGTGAACCCATCCCCTTTCCGTTACACCACTAATATCACCCCAATCTGCCCCAGCGCTTCCTGTTTTCATGGTTCATATGGGGATTAGATATAACGTGACACAAGTGTACTGTATTTGGTTGTACGTCTTCTGGCTGATGCGCCCTCAAATAAAGACAAAATAGACTGACAAAGTGGGAGCCGGCACTGACAGCAAACAGTGAAACAGGCCAGTAGGGTATTGATAACATGTTCCTGGGGTTATATTTCAGTTTAAGCTATTTCACTCCATAGTTGTGCCAGTATACAACAGTGGACTGTCATGTAGATCACCAAATATTGAAATTCTCTGTCATTTCTACATGTTTCCCTTCAGACCATATCAGCAGACATGCTTATATTGGGAGTGGTGAAAGAAGTCCATGAGTACGAGATTGTTGTCAGTCTTCCCAACATGATGACTGGCTATGTGCAGATCACCGATGTGTCATTTACCTATACCAAACTATTAGAAATGTTGGGGGATGATTCGATTGAGCTTTCTGAAGATATGCAGGTACCGTAAGCTGTTTCTTCTCTTTTTATTCATGTTGTTGTCTTGCATCATACAAGTTCACATATATGATTTCTCTCCACTTGTTCCTTATACACTTCACACCAGATGACATCTAAACATGGAGGGATGGATTTTCTGTGCTAAAATGTGGAGGATGTCCAAACACATTCTGTTGATTTTTGTATGCATTGCCGATGTCTGTACACATCCTCTTGCTCAAGTGACTCCCATTGAGTTTGTACACACAGAGGCTCAAAATAGTCCGTGGAGGTTGGGAGTGTGTGCTGCCCTCAAGGACTGTGGTCCAGCAGCTGGATGTTGTGACAAACATTGCTCTGTGACGTAGTCTCAGCACTTTGAAATAGCGACAGTGTAATAAGATATGTTTGACATATCTTTTACAAATGACTGCCAAGGGTCAGCATTCATAAAGTCCAACTTTGTGAAGGACTGTGGTTATGGTTTCTTGTTCCCCCAAAATTGGTATTTTCAACTGAAAATAATGTGCGTGGGTAATTGCAGTGTGGAATAATACCATCAGCAAATGGTTCAAGTAGCTCAGTTGTGGAAGTTTGTGTCTAACTCCTCTTAAATATGCAGCAGTACAAAAGAAATTCTTGCAGGGAACTTTTCCGAGTCATCTGAATGATGCAGAATGTATTAAGGAGGGAGAGAACTGGCTGTGTTGGAAATGTTAAGCTCAACTGTTTGTGTATAGAGATGACACTTGAATCATTTTCTTTGCATGATATGCAGTCTAGCTCCCTGTAGTTTCTAGGGTCAATTTCAATTCAGTGTGACGTGGTGGGCAATGACTCACCCCACCAAGCTGATAATTTTTTTGTCACAAGCTCTCGCATAGGACAAAGCTTGCAGTTCTCATAACAATAGGCTGGCAAAGGGCAAATTAAATTTTCCAATTTACATTTTCCCCATGCGAAATTTTGTCAAGTATCAAGGTTAGAACTAATTTCATGGGGTCGCTTACCAGGAGAAATTGTGTAGAAAAGTTCTATAAGCTGATAAAAACAAACCCTCTTGGAAAAAAATTGCACAGTCCAACTTCATAGAATTGACCCCAGATCACCCTATGTATTCTGTGTTCTTTTCCAATTCTTCAGGATGTACCCAGTCTACAGACCCTCTTCACTGTGGGTCATCAGGTTGTCTGCAAGGTCAAGTCAGTAGGGTCAACAGGGACAGGACGGCAGCGGATCCAGTTGACCCTTGACCCCCAGGCTATCCACTCACAATTAAACCCTGGCATGTTGAAACCAGGAATGGTGAGTGTATGTTGACTCTAATGGAGGTGTGAAATCCGTTTCAGATTCTTGAGACCTGACGTGGAACAACACCATGAAAGAAGTTGAAGTTGTCAACATTAGAAACCATGGCCCATATAACAGTGACAGTGGTATTTCTAAAGTTACATCTTTTGCCAGCTTTTGAGTGTAATATCTTGAACACCCGATAATACCTGCACAAATTCTGCCAAATCTGTTTTGTCAGTGAGAAATTTGATCTTCCCCCTCTCATTTACAAAGGGAAATTCCTGTAAAAATTATCTCAGTGAAAGAGTTGTAAACAGGCCACCGTGAGTCAGAAACTAATCAAAACTCACCAGTCCTTTTGCAGACTTATTCAAAGGAATCCTGACAGAGGCATTCCATTGTCATTGTTTATCCTCTGTCCCATGGCATTTCTTAATTGTATAGTTATGTGTTTAATTACATCCATCTCATGTCCTTGCAAGTCCATCACAAGTCATCTAGCCTGAAGCCAAGTTACAAGCTATTGCAACAAACATGACGTTATTCTTCTGTTATGGTTCACCTTTTTACTCATGACTGGTCTTATGATGGACTGGACAACACCACTGGCTCAGTTTTCTCTTGAGCTGTTGTGTATTCAGCCAGCATGTTTTCCAGTGGAAGAATTTTGACAGGATGTCATCAAGTAAAACATTGAAATTTATGGATTTTAAATGGACTGCAATCAGTGAACGTGCAACCCAATGGTCTTGCAGATAATATCTGGCAGCGTGTCCAGCATTGAGGATCACGGGTATGTCGTTGATGTAGGCATCCCTGGAGTGAACAGCTTTCTCAGTAGTGGTTTAGCTGAAGCATTCATCATGACAAACAACCAAGGTAATTCCCAGTGAAGTGAGGTTTGTAAAAACTGTCATTCCAAAATCTGAAAACTGTGATCCTCACCCTTCAATGCTGCCAAGTAATACCCTTGGTAGAGCCATCCACCATGACACTATCCGCCCTGAGTTGAAGTGCACCCCAAGCGGCAAAACAAAGACAGATGGTAGTAAGTTTTCCAAGTGGGTTCTTGCATGCATTCTGCGTGTACACAGAGACCATACATTAAGGAACAGATTCGTTACGCGTACTCAGCGTGCTCCGTGTCAAACATGCCACTGATCTCCGTTATAAACGCACGCCTGTGTGGTGAGTACCAAGAAAACAAGCCCTCTTTTGTTCTGCTGGGAGCAGATAAGGTCTGTCAAAAGATGCCAAAATTTCACACGACCCCAATTTTTCCCTGAGACTCGCTCCCATTGCAGTATTTGAGTGTTTGGTTGGCATACATCTGTCATGCATTACAAACTGAACAGTGCGGCATATTTTCACATCAAATAACAATGAATTCTTTATCACATGGTACAAGGTTCATAACGTGTTCCTTGTATGGTTGTCTTATCATTCTAATCCAGAACTTGTGCTGGCTTCACATTTTCTCACATTTTTTGCCGTTTATAAAGATTTGAAGGCTTGCCCACTGTGTAAATACTGTGCACAATCCTATAGTCTTTGCCCAGTGACAGTGGCAGAGAACTTGACACTCAACAAAGGCCATGTAATTGATTACTGCATTGCTGTAGAGATGGCTTTATGTTGAACTTGCCACTTGCCTCCATTACTTCTGATATCACTTTATGGTGGGGCCGTTGTCACAATTTAGAGGTTGTAGTGAGAACTATTATGCAAATGGTGTATAAAAGTAATGGCTTTCAAGAGTGTGGTGTTTGGATGTATTTTAAGAAAACTTAAACTTTTGCTCTTTTGAAAGTCAGACTTTTGGTAAGAAATAGAACCGTCAACAAGCCATAAATACTGTCTTAGAAGAGTGTGTAATTAGAAATATTCCTATTTACACTTTCAAAAGTTTGCCACCAGGCTGTTTTCATTCTCTTAAAAACGTGGATACACACACTATTCTAAATCTGAAGCTAGACTTCAAACAATTTTACTCTTTGATGAAACGTATTGAAGGAAATTCCCCTTAGGATGCCAGACTTTGCTGATGGGTTCCTGGATCCTCACCTTTGTCCTCACCTTTGCCTTGTGAAAATTTGAGGAAATTTCATAGGCCTGAGGATGAGACAGATTGTGTGCTTTTGTAGGCCTGTCTTAACTTGGGGTCTCTGTCAGAAAAATTCAATCCAACCAGATTTGACTTGGACCTAGAGCTAAATCAATATGTGAAAATTAATTGTGATTATTTACAAATAAGTTTAAGTCTCATAGAAGAAACTCATCTCGCAGGAATGTTCAGTGAGAGTTTTTTCTGTTTTCAGGGCAACCATTGTCCATTGCCCAGCCAATCAAGTGCCTCATCAAGGACGTGAAATCGGATGGGAGGTCTCTTGTTCTCTCTGCAAATCCAAGCTCTGTTGCCAAGGCGACGGCCAAGATGTCTTCCCATGACAGTTTTGTCTCTCTTGTGCCCGGGACAAAGGTCAAAGCTACCATTCAAAATGTGAGGATGTTCAAATTTTCCAATATTTCTCATATATTTCCCAATGTGAATAATTATGTCCATTATAAAGTAAGTTGGTGTCAGTGTTGGACCAACCATGCCTTTGTATCAAAATAAATGCCAGTATTGAGACTCTCCTCTGTTCCGTTTTTAATATTATGCCCAAGTCAAATTTAATTTATCTCAAGTTGATAAGCTAAAGGTTTGTACACATCTAGTGGAAAATTGGACATGTGTGCTCTGCACCTGTCACATGTAGTGCATGCTTGTGATGTGCCCTTCCATTGCCTTTGTAGGGTAGGCCTTACAGTATCATCTAAAGTCCTTACATGTACACCATGTACATGGAGTCCAGCCAAATAGGCCAAAAGGAAATTCAGGGGTATTACTAAGGGGGAGTGCAGGGCCTGAGACCCTCCATTTCCTGGTTTTGTTTGAAAATCTTTGGCCAAACTGAGTAACACAGTGAAAAGGGTTCCAAGGTAGGAGAATGCTGTGGACTGGAGAGTTTAAAGCAGCATTGGGACACTTACAGAGGCAAAGATGAGGTGGTGAAAAGATATCAAAATGTAAAACATGATGGGTGAAAATGGTTGATAAAAGCACAGAAAAAAGATACATGTATTCCCGAAATGACAGTTATCTTACTAGTACTGTCTTAGCATAATTTTGTGATTAAACAAAATGGGAGGAAAATTACCATTTTGCTGTGAGCAAACAGCTTTGGCCATGTGCCTGACAAGCATTGCGTAATTGTGGGCAGCACAGGCTACTCTGAACTACACAAGCAATCGTGACATATTTCCTGCTTTGTATGTTACCCTTGCAACACTCTTACAACCCCTGGAGGTCAGCCATTTTTATTGGGAAAGGGTACCAAATCATAATGGCATCGTGATTTTTACTTGACATTCTTTACAAAAACTCACAATTAGTAGTGGTTTTGTCTTTAAACTTTGCAGATCTGAAGTGTAGCATTATTTGATGTGGCTGAGTATAACTTCTGAATTTGACTGACAAGAGTTTATTTTTGACTGATAAATGACATGTCATTGAATCTTGTGTAAAGTTTCATGATTTTAGTCTAAATTTCACACAAACTTATACAATGAAATGGTTTAAAACCTTCATGAATTGCATTGTTGTTAACTTCACAGTCCATCAGTGAGACGTTTTTGACTTCTCTTTGAATGCATCTTTCTAGATTAATAAAGACAACATCAGGGTTGAGTTCCTGTCTTCATACAGGGGCTGCATAGACCAACTACATTTTGAAGACAACACTAAACCTTCCACTGAGTACGAGGAAAAACAAGTGGTCAGTTTTCCACCCAGTGTTTGTTTCTTCATTTCCCAGGACTCCATGTCAGTGGCATTATTTTCCATGTTTAAAACAGTATCACACTAGAAAATCATGCCTCTGTTATGATGAGAACATCTGGGCCAGTCTCCCTGTGCTGAGACGCACAACCAATGGTGACCGGCTCTAGAAAAATGGGTAATAAGTTGCCAGATTCAGGTTATGAGTTTCTGATGTGGTTGTATTCTGTACATCACAAGCTACATTTTGATACATGCATGACCCCTGTAGTGCACTGCATTCCAGAGATATATAGACATTTGTATATCCACATTTTTCAAATTCAATAAAAGCAATTTTCAAGGAAAACACATAAAGTGCAGCGCTTGGAAACAATGCGACAGTGTATGAAGGATTTCCCACTGAATGGTCAATTTTTCATCATATTTATCAGTATCCATGTTTGTAGTCACAAATTCTAAAAATATAAATATTATAGAAGCTAAAACACAAAATCACATTTTTGAAGAAATTTTGCCCTCTCCAAATAGAACAGGCCATTACGTGTTTTGGCATTGCGTGACTTATTACTTTTTTTTGCAGAGTGGGTCAGAATTTTGGTGAAGGGCAGTTCTGTGCCAGTGTTGCCCTTGGTTTAAAATTTGGTTTTTCACGGGATATGATCATGATGTGATGACTGTTTACTCGCCAACTCCAGTGACTTTTTATTCCTCATTATACCCCAAAAGAGGGTTTAAAAGGTGTCAGTCTGTTTTTTTGGCAACACATAGCTTTACCTGTCCTTTAAACGTCAAAAGTTTCAAAAGAAATCTCAGCGATTGGGGGACACTTCCATTGAAGAAACATCACTAGAGGTGAGGTCCTAACTATGTACCATCATATGGGAGGACAGGACACTGCAGAAACTCCCTGCCAATATGTCAGTCCCTACCCACAGTAGTATCCCTCTTGCCGAGCAAGAGTAAGTTTCCAGACTACGACAAAATCTCTATATTTTTATAACAACCCAAGGTTCAAATCCCTTTTGGGTCAGCATGAGGATTGGATTTTTCAGTCCTTACCTAATTATTTGAGTTTTCCTTGGAATGTTTGTCCAGTTTTCCTCCATAGATCTCTTAAACTAAACATTTCTTCATTTTTTTTTGTCTTGGTCACTGACATGTATATTTTACCCTGTAATTGGCATTTGCACTGTTAGATATTAAAATAAGAAATAAACCAAAAATAAAATAAAGTGCTACATCGTCAGTATTATAGACCTATCGGATTAAAATAGTCAGAGTGATACTTCTGGTAAGTTGAATCATTACCATGCTTATGTTTTTTGGCAGGTGCGAGCATGTGTAATATTCCACTGTCCTCACAGTAAATCCCTGGGGTTGAGCCTGATGCCGGCGCACACTGAGTCCCCAGTGCAGGCTGATCAGCAACCTCTATTCCAAGGCCTGTGCACTGGTGACATCATCAAGAAAGCCAAAGTTGTAAGGATAGATCCCAAAATTGGAATGTTGCTTCAACTGAATGACCAAGACAGAGGCATTGTTTATGTGAGTATTGAAAGCAAGGCAGCCTTGTGCATGAACATTATAAAGGGCCTTGCTGATCCATATTGCAGATGTTAGTGGAAAGGTTACGCAGTTGGCTACAACATTTCTAATAAAAGAAGTGTCGGTACTCAGTGATATTCCAAGTGTCCCATTTTGGTGTGGTCGTTAAGCGTCAAAGTAAAACCGAGGCTGACATGAGCAACTTTTCAACCGTGGATGGTGGTAAGATACACCTGTCCCTTTCATTATGTCAACTGTATGCAACACATTGTCAAATACACACAAATGTTTGGTGTACATGTCAAAAGCCCACATTAATGTTCATGCATGTATAATGCTTGACACAGTTCGTACATCCAGGTGAGATAAAGCTGTTTCAATTAATTGGCATTCTGTATTTGAAAAATTTAAGGAAATTTCATTATCTTCACCACCCGTGCCATTTATCCAGAACTACTAAATTTGGTAATCATTTCTATTAGCTCCAAGAAATCTAAACATGTTCGGCCGCTGTGTGTCACACAATATTTCCCTACATATGAATATTGCCCATATCTTTATTATGCTTTTCATTCAATATGCCTTTCAGAATTCAAAGTAATAACCCTTTGGGTATGGAAAGCCTAATCCTAAAAATTGTCTACTCCAGAAATACCACACTCTAAAACAGTACCCACTCACAAAATTTGCATTTTTCTTTCTTTTCCTTTGTCTTTAAACATTAGCTTCCACATATAGCAGACACAAAGGTTACCAATCCGAACAGTCTGTACCACGTAGGCAGCAAGGTAGTCTGTAGGATATTAGACTTCAACTTAATGGATGGGATAGCAACAGTCTCTATGAAGCAGTCTGTGTTGGATCAGCCATTCCTTGGTTACCATGACATCCAGCCCGGTTGCTTGGTCGAGGTATATTGCTACTTCCTCCTATTTTGCAAGAACAGTAAAATACTGCTCCATGAATGTTACAGGATTCAAACTCCCCAGTACTGCATATTCTATATGTGACAAATGTTGACTGTCCTCTCAAGGTGCTTTGGGGCTTTTTTTTTACTCCTTAAACAAAGTATGAAGAAAAGGGAACACTCCAAGGATCCCCTAGGAAGGCTATTTTGATTGGACTGTAGAGGGAACAAATTAGATAATGACAAGATTAGAATTCACAAGCTTCCTTAGTCTAATGATGAATACATTGTGAGTTAATGTTGCATTATTTTTAAAGAAAAACCGAATTGATTTTCAATATGTATCTTTTGTTTTTTATTTACTAGGGTACCCTTACAGCCATATTGGAGAAGGGTCTCTCCATTAAGATATCTGATCATGTGAGTGGGTTTGTACCCAGAATTCACATGGCTGATGTGATCATTCATAAACCGCAGGGCAAATTCACTGTCGGCGAGCTGTTGGAACTCAGGGTAAATAATCCATTTTTTGCGTGTTATTTTCTGTCTTTTAAGTTTTGTGTTACTGCATTTTTTAAAAATGTAACTTCTTTTGTCCCAGCTTACAACTGTCAAAGGAATTATTATTTGAAATTCTAAACATATGATACATCTTTAGCTTTTCTGAGAAGAACTAACTTTAGTGGGATTGCATGTAAACCTTTGTAAAGTTTTGTGGAAAACTGGTGTTGGATTCTCAAAACATCTTCCACTTCAGTTCATTAATGAATTGGATACGTTTATGACATATTTTAGACCCACACTGAACTTGCTCAAATTTCAGTCAGGTCAAACTTACCGACAAAAGCAGGGAGCATACTGGAATAGTTTGGATTTTCATAGTTTTACAAATCGTTTTTATTCCTTTTTTTAATTGCTTCTTGTTTTAATAAGGAGTTGGTCTCCGGCATTACATGGCGATAATGTTTACATCTTGGATGAAACTGGAAACTCGGCAACATCGTCAATGCCACTCAAGAATGTTTAAGTCTCACCTGAGATTGTGAATTATGTCCTACAAGCCAAGTGTTTGAATTCTGGTTTTTTTTTACAAAATATCCCCCATGACGCCTGTCTCTTTCTGCCCAAGGTGCTGTACGTGAATCCAGAGAGACGTCGCCTGCTGCTGACCCACAAGAAAAGTCTTGTCCATTCTACACTGCCTGTCATAACCTCTTACGATCAGCCTCGCAGGGACATGATACTGCACGGTTTCATTATCTCAATCAAGGACTTTGGCTATCTCGTTCGTTTCTACAATGATATCACAGGTATGCAGCTTTGATTTGAAATATGAATGCCATCCCTTCCAAGTTTTGTCTAACATCCTCAAACTTTTGCAGTGATGTTTGCCCTAAAAAATAATCTGTTCCTTGCAAACATAATAACAAGATGTCTCAGAAAATAAGTATTGTATGTTTCACATGCTTTGCTGAGATGCAGAAAGTGGCAGAAAGCAGTTTTTGGCTTTTTTGGTAACCCCTGTGCTGCCCAAACTGCCTGATCTGGATGAGGTCACATGCTGTATGGTCTTGGTCAAGCACTCTCAAAGCCAGAATCAAGTATCTGTCAAGCATGCTGAGAATGGCAACAGATCCGTTGTGAGAGTTTCCAAACAGTGCAATGAGTGTCATTTGCTTTCTTACAACAACCATTGCATGTGGTGCTTGCTATAAACAGGGCCTTTGCTCATTTGACAGAGATCCTAAGGCATTAAGCACGGCAGAGAACTTGCCGACAAGAAGAGCGGATTTCGTTAATCAGTTCCTGTCGGAGGACATTTTAACACACTGGGAGTTCTCAGCAGCACCCATCACACGGAGGATGTTTAAACCCGTTGGGGTAAAGCCTGTGTGCGGTGCTGGCTGACTTTCATCCACATCCCCGATCTTGAGTGATTCCCGTTAAGTTTGTACGTACTCAAACCTCAAACTAGTCCGTAGAGGTTGTGGGTGTCTGGGATTCTCATGCAGCCATGTTCTATGGCTGGGTGTTGAAGTATAAAATATCACTCAAGGATATTGTCCCTAAGTGTCAAAAAGTGGCAGTGTGGTTAAGGAATGGACGTTTCCCAAGAAATATACAAATTAGACAGGCTCATGTGCGCTATTACCACTGGTTGGTAAGCACAGCCGTCAATACCGTCAGTAGTGTAGGAGACCTGCTCTAACCATAACCTGGAGCATTGAAGGTCAATCAAAACCATATTACAGCCTCAGTCAGATACTTCAGCATGCTTTTCTTGAGACTAAGTGAAGTTTTCTGTGTCCAGAGGTTAGAGAGTAACAATTCCTTGTCTTTAAGTTTGGCACTCATATCAAACTGTGCTAGTACAAGAAATGGCATGTATGTGCTCATAGCTGCATACACATGGACATTTGTATTGTAACGTCATAGATTTATGCAATATTGCCTACCAGTTTTAGTAATGTGCATGCGCTGCCTTATTTACATATTTCATGGGAAAGATCCATCGTTGTACAAATTGTGAAAAAATGACCACCAAGGGTCAGCATTTGTAAAGTTCAACTTTGTGAAGGAAAGTGGTTGTGGTGTCTTGTCATTTTAAAAGTCAGTATTTTTGCCAAAAACAATACCACACCTTTGTTGTGGATTAATATGGTCTGCAACTGGAAAATATGAGAATGTAGCATCCAACATAGATTTCCACACATTTGTACTCACTGTAGAAACACTCTAAACTGATCCCAGATAGACAAAGTGCTACTTGGTCTTGGGTAATGAATACCATGAATGGCAGCTGAAGGTCCAGGTCCCAGACCCTGGTGTACTCTATTGTGGGAGGCCCTTGTCTCAGGTTTTGTCAAAAATAGGTTTCCAGAGCTATGGCAATGTCTGTTGTCATTGAGTTTCTACATATTTCAAGAAAATAGATTGAGATGCACCCTTAGGGTCTTCTGCAAATGGTAGACAGTATCAGAAGAAGGAAACTTGGGGTCCAACATCTCAACCTCACAATGTCCACTTGGATAACATGTCAGCGGTTTGCCATGGACTTGCAGGTTTGATCCCACGTTCCGAGCTCTGTACTGGCCCACAACCAGTACCAGACGGCTCTTACTTCATTGGTCAAGTAGTCAAGTGCCGAGTAATCAAGACCTACTCACCAGAAGCCAAACGCATCACTCTGTCACTCAGGCTATCAGCAACAGAGGATAAACAGACCAAGGAAATTGACTATAAGAACCCACGCATGGGCAAGGTTGGTTAATCAGTCTTCATTTCATCAGCCATGCCCTCACTGTTGTCAATTGTTAGATATAGTCACCCAAAAGGGATCCCCAAACCACTGACAGGTGTTTTCAAGGCAGTGGCTATGTTATCATGTATTATGGCAACATGTCTGAGCTTAAACTTCTCATTCTTAGATTACATGTATGTGCCATGAGTGGCTAGGAGCCTACTTCAATTTCGAGTCTGACGTCAATTTCAAGTAGAATTCTGAGTCAGTGCAAGTGAAAGGGCACTTACGCATTGCATGTATTTTCCTTGGCTACAGAGTTGCATGGAAACCTTTAATTAATGAAAATTAACGGGTAAATTTGCATTGAGTTTTATTATTTGATTTATTTAGTTCATTCATGTCCTGATACTTACAAATAAATGTCAAGATAAATATCTTGATTCGTTAGCATCCTATGAGCTTTCCCTTAGCTTTGCCTTTGGAAAAAGGCAAAGCTAATATACATATATGCTTTTGTGAAAACCTGATATTTTGTGATTTTCCTGATTTAAAAATATTATTTTTCCATTACCAGCTGACGGATGTTAAAGTAACAAAGGTCAGAGATCTTGGACTTGAGGTCAGCATTCATCCCGAAGGCACCCCTGCATTTCTTCCCAAAGTGCACCTGTCAGACTTTGTTGAAAATTGCAGCCTGATGTTGGCATGTTACGAGAAAGGTGACACCATAACCAATGCCATGCACTGGTCATTCTCACCCACCAGAAACTGTGCCGTATCCTTTCTGAAGTGTCAAATTGGATTTGGGGTTTTTATACACAGGTACCTTTTACACAGACAAACAATAGCCGAGTGTACCGACGGAAGATGGTATTCAGGGGGATGTCTTGCATGTGTACATCTACACCCAAGGCCGTAACCAGTCTGTATTCCAAGTTTACTGACTCTCCTTTATACTAGTGTGCCACAGAAAGCCTCTCAGACACCTCTGATTGGCCAGAATACCAGCATGATCTCTTTGAAATATTATTCAGTTTTCTATATGCAGTGGTCCATTGCAGTCCATTGTTCTCTCTGTGGTAATAGTCCCTCAGGAGACCACTTCGTTGGATTTGTTTTTTACTGCAGGGAGTATCCTATTTTGCTGCTTTATAAATAGGCTGTCTTTGTGGAAGGGGAAGTGGAGTCAGGCTTGTGTAGGGGTACTGTAGGGTACCGAAGTGAATATGTCATGTGTATAATTGTGACCCGCTCTTCAAAAAAGGGTATTGAGGGACACTGTGCTATTTCACACTAAGGGCTTTTTTAGGTGGACAGGGTGATTTTTTACTTCCTGGGTTTTTTGGCTTCTATTATATCAGTACTTCCACAATTCATACAAGAATCCCAACTGTTGCTGTGGGTATCAAGAGACTTTTTTTTGGTTGATTTCTTTTTCCACTTTCTGTGTTTAAAGGGCTTTATCTCTGGAAGTAATTCTGTTAATGTGTATAATATGTTTATGCAAAAATCAATATATCTCCAGATTACGAAATGCCTCAGGGTTCAAACCTACACCAAATGAAAGCTTACTATGTAACCTATTCAAAAGTGTATGTCCCATAATACCCTTTTTTGTGGAGCCGGTCACAATTATACGTAAAAGGCATAAGCACAAAAACCAGTCTGTGAACTAATACGCATGCATACTCCATTAATTTGCAGTACACTTCCGGACACCTCTCCATTCTTACCTGACCTCCCTGGGAATTTGCTAGGAGCTGTCCTTTAGTCCTTCAAAACCCACAACTTTTCCTGGAACTGAGGGCACATTCTTTTTGTAAACTTTCAAGGGCAACAAGTCACATGTGAGGGTGTGGCTAGGCTGTACCTTTCTGAATCCTGCAGAAACTTTTAAACCTGATGGATTTAGAGAATCTAAGATCATAAGGATAAAAAAGACTTCTTTAGCCTTTAACCTTCCCAAATTTTTTGAAATCCCCCTGCGTGGCGTTTTTTGAAGGATTAAGCCCGTATGGCAAATTTGTGGCCCATTGAAAAGATGACTGATGTACAAGGTTTTGGGCTCAATTTTTGCTGTTAATGCTCACACACACTATAATTTGTTCCCTTGTGAAGACATTGCTTTGTTCTCGTGTACTAAAACATCTCCCGGGTCTCCACAAGGCACCAGATTTTGAATCAGCTGTAAACACATTTAGGCTCAGATTATGCTCAAAGTCATCCACACAGCTCCTGGATATCATTTGCACTGCTTCAGAATATTGAGAGGATTATTAAGGCAGTGGTCAACCCTCCAATGAACACATTCAGGAAACAATGGATCATTGAGGCTGTATGTAACTTGTACCCAGAGGCAGCTGAAAGATTTAGCAGGACTGAAGTTGTATTCTAGCCGAGGAAATGAGGGATAGTTTACCAGAGTAGTCAATCAGTCATTAAAAAGGACAAGGTTAATCAACAGAGAACCCTGCAGGATTTCAAAAATACCCAGTGTTCATGAAGACGCCCATTTTCATTTTGCTGACTTGCTTCATTACCATCACTCTTGGCATAAAAATTTAATTCCCTTGACAAGCTAACATGCAGATTGTAACTTGCAAACCAATGCTGATAGAAGCCAGGCAAAATAAAGAGCTGGTCCGAGGCTTCAGCGAGGTGCAGTCGGGGACACTGGTCATGGGAGTGGTGAAGCGAGTAATGCCGTATGGAATCTTCATTGAACTCCCGAATAACGTCGTTGGACTAGCCCCAAAAGCTGTATGTACATGTGTGTTTTTTAACCCTAACCCCCGAGGGTGTATGCAAAATCATATTGAAATTGGAAGATTTGGGACTGTTAGGGATAAAAGCAGAATTTGGAATGGAAAAGTTTTTGATGTTTTTTTGTGGAAGAGTTTGACATTTAGCCATGTGTACTTTTCATTTTCACCTTTGTTAGGCAATGTCAGATGATTTCATCAGCAGCTCCAACGCCTTCCAAATTGGCCAGACCCTAAGAGCCCGAGTCTCCGAGGTGGACCACGAGAAATCTCGCTTCCTACTGAGTCTCAAGTCGTCCATTTGCCTCCCTAAGAAGGGCGAGGGGCAGAGCTTGCTGGAAAAGTACTTCCATGAGAGGGATGTGATCATCAGAAAACTGGCAAACAAGGAAGGTAACGAGATGTTAGATGTATTGTGACCAACATAGTCTTTGACAACAATTTCCTGTCTGATACTCCCAGAAAGATAGCAAATATTGGTAGTGTTGGTGTGTATTTGGTTTGTTGTGGTCTGTATTAGTTTGATTTATAAACATCAATTAAATAATAAAGAGATAAAGACAGTGAAGAGACTTCTTAATGCAACACAAGTGATAAATTGTGGATCTTGGCAAATAGCAATTGTACCAGGCCAAGCCATAAATGTACAATTTTATCAGGCTTACGAAGAAAAAACAAAACAAAATGGAACAAATGCTGAAATGACGACAAAGAAAAATGTAATTAAGGAAAATAGAAAAGAGTGAATACCAGTTCCCAAGAGTATGATAATAGATACAATTTATCATTCAGTTAATTAATCAGTGAGGCATGTTGACCACTGCCCTAGAATCTGCCTTGTTTCCTTTCCTGCTCTGTCCAAATGTTTATCAATTAGTATATCCTCTTCTGGGGTCCCTTCCTTTAACTTTTCATTATTTTTTTGGCCAGGTTGGGAGAAGCTCTTGGAGATTCAGATTGGTAGCGAAGTCACGGCCAGGATAACCCAGAAAGTAGAAGGAGGTGTTTATTGTAAACTGCCCAACAAACTCTCTGGATACATCCCAGATGCTGTCATTGAAGGTATACTAGCAATACACTTTGACACTAGTTAAAAGCTCCTTATGCTCAAATGTTCGGTTGATTTGATGATTGATTAAAACTTGAGGCTTTGGGCAAGTGCAAACTTGTAACTGACACCAATCTTGACCCAGCTCAGGGGAGTCAAGTTGGTGTAGTACTTACCTCGACCTCCACCTCTGCAACCCGAGGTTCAAATCATATCTAGGTTGGTATGCACATTTGGTTTTTTAGTCTCTACCTGATACAGTGGGGTACATACTCTAGGACATCTGTTTGGGTTTTCCTTCCACCTCTAAAATTTCTTCACTGTCTTCCTCATTTGTACAGATTATCATCCGTAATTTGTGCTTGCAGTGTTAACTGAACATTGAATACATGTAAACAAAATGAAATAAACGGAACAACTTACAGCAGAGAGCACAAATCTGTTTAACTTAGATGCATTTGGCAGGCAACAGCATCAGATTCTTTGTGGCTGAGGTTCCCTCTGATTTGTTTTGTAGAAGTATTATATTCACGTGTATCCACCCTCACTGGCAAAAAAGGAACTGTCAAGTGTAATCATTGTTTAATCTAGGTACTGGGTATGTGTGCAGAGACACCAACATTTATTCAGTTGCCTGTTGCCGTTGACTGCTGTTCCTGTGTAGAACCATGCCATCTGTTATTCCAGCATGGAGCAGATTATTGTCATGAATTTCAGCTTTTTGTACATGTGGTGTGGATAAAAGTATGGGAACTTTTTACATTTCAGCTTTTTACTAGCTGTTTTTTAGCATTAATTTTGAGTGGTCACTCACACCCCTGTATATCTATCCTTTTTCTCTGTTGTCATGTGTAGAACAAGCAGATATTGAGGAGGGGTCGAAGGTCAAAGCCTGTGTCCTGCATGTAGACCTCAGTGCTAAAGTGGCTGAATTAACCCTTGATCCGGAAATCATCAAATTTGTTGCCTTGGATGCCAAAAAGAAGAAGACGCCCAAGAAGAGCAAGAGTTCAGAGGATACAGAAGCGGTGGTTGCCATGGTGAAGGATGATTTCATCCTGGTGTGCTTGAAGGCCTCTGGCAAGCTGGCTTACATTCCTGGGAGAAGGGTGAGTTTGTTGGTTCAAATCATCAGATCATATCTGAGATTTTTAGTTGGGAATAAAGTTCATCCTTTTTGTGGGGTTTAGTTCACCTTCATGAACAATATTTTGTATTTCTCTTGTAACAGCATCTCAATGACATACGGACAGGAGTTGATGTGCTAATAGTTGGACAGACAATAAAAGTTACCAAACAAAGGTAAGTGCATTTTGAAAAAAGTTCATAAATTAATCCCTTTTCTTTGTGAAATTTGACAGACATTCAAAACTCCAGATTCCCCTGCTATGTGTACAGGGAGTAACCACCAGTCAGGAGTACTACCATATTTGGACAGGCTATTCTTAAGTTTTGGTATATAATGGGACAAAAACACAGACTAAACTTTCCATTAGGAAAAATGTATCGGCTGTGCAAAAAAGGGACATTACAGACATTATCTATACATTCTAAACTTGACTTCCACTGTTTTGATTTAAGAATTCATCATTTGTGAGTTCAGAATTCGTCATTGCCAACTCCAGATATACAACATTATCTCATACCAGGCAAACAAATTGCTGGCACAAGCATGGAGTTTTGAATAAACAGGGGGTTTGTTTTGCTAGAAGAGGCTTTGGGATTGCATATTTGAATTGTGTGTGGTTTCTCATGTGCACACCTGGTCAACAGCGAACTTGTCGCCTGGCATATATTGGTGAATACACCAATTAGCATTCGGCTTTCCATTATGAATATTTACAGGGGGGTATGGTTATTCAAAACAGGCTTGTGATTGATTTCATCTGATATTCATGATTTCATTCCTCAGGATGCTCAACAATCGCATCTTGGCATCACAGTTTGTCAGCAATAAGAAAGACCCTAAGCCTGCTCCAAAGAAAGCAGGAGATGCCACCACAACAGCTGAACAAAAGGAGAAGAAAAAGAAGACACCCCAGGGAGTGATTGAAGCTCACAAGTTACAGCTAGGCCAAAAGGTCACTGCTGTGTAAGTAACACTGTATTGCAGTTCTGTATGTTTCTGGTTTGTATAGATGAAGTTTTTGTGAAGTCAATGGTAAGCAAGTTCTTGAAGGAGAAAGCAAACGAAGCCTGAACCTAAAATTAATTGTGTAAATCCAAAACAACATTGATTCTATCTGTGTTGTCTTTCCCTGTGCTTAACTTCTTCCATTGCGAGAGCCAGTCTTTTCTATTCATATATAGACTGGCAGTACGTTGACTAGTGCATATCTGTGCACCCCCTAGAGACTGCCAGTAACCAGACGAGGGTCCTGCTTCCCAAGGCTGGAGGCCAAGGGAAATGCAGCCCTTGTCTGATCATTCACAGGCCTGAGGGGGCGCAGACATGCAGAACATACTTAACCACTTGCTGCTGGGTGTAATTTTAAGTTGCATGACATAAAACTGGGAGATTCTCGAGATTTTCCGTTGTCAAAATTCTTCAAAAAATCATAACTTCATTTACTGGATGTTTACACCCACACGAATGACTGTCTGGTGGCTACTCTAATCTAACAGACACATCTATTGATGCTCGAGTATTTCAGCCAGGCCTGTTGCCTGGTAAAAAAAGCCCAATAGGGGCCAGATTAGCATGCAGCGGTATTGTATTGCTCATCACTGGAGCGCTTTTGTCCCTGGTGGTAATCTGCTCGCACTGAATGCCACAAACAGTGGTATAATAATTCAAAACAATGACAGATTTCCTCCTCTATTGCCAATTAAAAAATGTTAGCAATTCCCAGCAGCGCGGTCTTTTGTTCCAAGTATGGTCTTTTGTTATAAGGCCTAGCTCTTTTGTCCGATTTCAGGCTCCCCGGTTTCGTGTATAATGCCTATGTGTCCAAAACTGGGCTCCCTGGCAAGAAGTGGTTAAGTGACCAAATTATGCTAGTTTATATGCATTATGTAAAATGCCTCAGTCCAAAATGTAAAACAAGAAAAGAAACTTTATAGAATTTTATACTGAAAATGTTTTAATTCAACCATAAACTCACAAGCAAAGCAACCAGTTCAACAGTTGAAGCAATGCTATTTTTTCCCCTAGTTTCAGTTTTTGAGTTGATGTTCACAACACTGTAACCAGTCAAAATTTTGGATATAAGTTCTCAAGCAAACACCGTACTCCAGAATTACATGCACGATGTCTTTAATAGCACGCGCCCAATTTATGTTGATGCATATTTCATGCACTTGCCTGAGGAAGCTGCAAGGGGTGTTTTATAAATGTATTTCTAATAAGCATAATTGCAATATTCACTAGGAAATGATGCTTTATTAAAGCCAAAATTTAAACTGCTTCAACCCACTCAAGTAATTTGTATTGTCTCAGACTGCTTAGCCACAAGGTCAAAGCAGGTAGATGTTATACATGAACGTATATTCATTTTGATCTTTTATATGGATTTGTTCAGGCAAAAAAGTGACCCAGAATGCTTTTTTGTGCTGCCTGACTTTGATGCATTTAATTTCAGAGCATGGTGTCAACTGTTTGTACTGTGCTTGTGCTTTTTCAGGGTGAGGTCTGTACAAGAGTGTCAGCTGAATGTCAGGGTCAACCATGTGATCACTGGTAGAATCCATGTGACTGAAATAACTGATAAGATGGTTCAGGTATGTAGTTTGAACACCCTTACTTTGACTAAGGGAATAAATATCCACTCTTGAAATGGACTCTGATAATGGCCCAATCTGCAGGCATCCAGCATCCATTCTCCTTCTGGGGTCTCTAAGGAACATTTAAGACTGGCCAAGCATGTATTTCTTCCCATTCATAAATACTTTTTCAGTCTGACAGTTAAAGTAAGTAAAAATTTGCAAGGTTTCAATGATTTTGTTCAACAGTTTTACTTATTTTTTTCGAACACCTCTCTACACGTTTTATGGTATGTTCCTGTTGTGAGTAATCATAAGTAATCTCCTTATATGGAGATAGGTATGCACTTGACACGTATGGCGTTTGGTGGTGCAGGATGCCATTAGCCAGTGGCAAGGGACATTAAATTAGCATCCATTCTTCTGTGGTGATCTTAAATAAGTTTGGAAATTACACATTTCCAATGCTGTTGTTCACAAAGGTTACTTCAGTTTTTTCAAACACCCCTCTAGCCATATTATGTTATGTGCCTCTGTGAGCCAGTGCTTTATCACTTTAAGATCGGCCACGTGGCAGGCTCTCAACCAATTAAAATGACTAAACTGTCCTAGATATTCATGAATAAAGTTTCACACAGCGATGTTTTGCCAGTCCCCTTCTGACCTTTCATGTATTCTCAGTTTTCTTATACTCTGTATGTGCCAGCAAGGCTACATTGTTTCTCACAACCGATCATTTGACTGCTTTATAAGTTTATTGTCTTCTGAGAGCAGTAAACAGAGCTGTGATCAGTAAATGGAATGTTTCATTACCAGTTTGAATTGAAGCATATCACTGCTCTCCCATTTTTTGCACAAAATTTCTTTCAAATCAAGGAGCATAATAATTGACATCAATGTGGAAAAATAATGGAATGAAAGAATAGTGTGATCAATGTTTGTTCCTGGATTTAACACATGCATGTGTGATCTTCATTTTCAGCCTGAAACAACTATTCTAGGTTGTATGCCTTGATTTGCAAGGAAATTTCCGTTTTTGTGATAATATGCCGAAGTCATAAAAAAATGATCTTTCACCTGACACAGAATAAGTTTCCACTGCACAAATTTAAAGAGGGTATGGAGTTGGAGGCCAAGGTCATAGGTCACCGTGAGGTCAAGGATCACCGCTATCTTCCCATCACACACACCAACTTCACCAAGTTGGCATTGGACCTGACCATCAGACCAAGGTAGCTTGCCTCATTAATTGCTGAATTCCTACATGTAGTTATTGTTTGTGAAAATGACAGTCAAAACCATGAATATCACTTTGATCGGGAAATGTTTTTATTGATGGCCCCCCATTATCGGGCTGTGGGAATCAGGAATAAGTATAACTATTTGGTAATGAAATTGCATTTTAAAAGCATGTTTTGAGATGTTAGCTGATGCATATGCCCAACATTAACCCTGACTATCCTCTGTCCTTCACCTGTTGGTGATTCCAGGACTATGAGGGTTAAGGCCCAAAATTACTGTTCCTCCTTTTTTTTTCCTTTTTATGGTGTATAATCTCACCAGGATTCTAAAACAATAACTCACCGAATAGGACCAAACAGAAGGTGGACTCTCAGCCCCTTCCTGTAACTAAGGGCCAGGACTTTGACCCCTCCCTATATTGAAGCCAAAGAGGTAGAACACCTCATAAACATGCAGATTTTGTTTCTGATTTTTGTGGGAATTGGGTATGATGGAATATTCAAATATTCTATCAAAAGAAAGGTCAAATGTTTGAATATACGGTTATAAATTCAAATTGACTTAGCCTGTGGTCTGTATGTGGGCATTGAGTACAATCGTGGCTTTGTCACTGTTGAAAAGGGAAAATTGAGTGAAATCATTTATGCTTCCTGTTGTATTCTCTGTGCAAGATTTGTCTTAAAAGCAACTTTTGACTCATTTTGTTTGACTTGCATTAAAATTAATGTTAATTGACTGATATCGCAAGTAAATTACAGCACACTCATTGTTAATGTAACATGCACGCATAATGTTTCAATCCAAAGTTAAAATTAACTGCACAATAACATATTTGTTTATGCTTTCAGCAAACTGAATGATGACAAGTACATTGTTGAAGATGAGTCATTACAGAAACAACTGCAGAGGTATCAATCAGGACAGACCATCAGCTGTGTAGTACAAAAGGTGACAGATGTCTTTACCTCAACCATTTTAACAAGTCCCGTTGAGACGAATGGTCAGAGATTGTTCTAATAATAATCAGTTTGTCCTCCAGTTAGGGTCAACTTAATTTGTTGATCTTAAACCCTGAAGGGAAATCTTAATGTTCTCATAACTTGTGGGGTCACAGTTCATAAAGATGTACACACAGGTCAGCTTTCTCGTTTGTGAGAAGTCAAGCATATTGTGATTTAGGCTGTGTCTCACTCAACTGGCTGTGGCTAAGAGTCACAAACTAAGTCTATGGGAAGTTGCTGCAGCCACTAGCCCCATCCAGGTTATTTGGACATTGCCTTAGTTTCAAGTTTATTCGGTGATTTTTGAATGGACCACTTTTTAGAAACATCTTAGCATTAGCCGGATAGAAGAGTCACACGCAAAGTCTATGGGAAGTTGCTGCAGCCACTAGCCCCATCCAGGTTATTGGACATGGCTTTAGTTTCAAGTTTGTTCGGTGATTGTTGAATGGACCACTTTTCAGAAACATCTTAGCATTAGCCGGATAGAAACTTTCAACTTTGACTTCCTAAAGTTCCTTTTGCTCACATCACAAAAATGTACTTACAATAGTTAATAATGCGTGCATGGTTTGTCCTGATATTCACAAGTTGGTGTATCTCTTGTGTAATAGTAGCTCTTAAAGCTTTTACTCTGAAGGCCAAAAAGAATCTAAAATTTGGTTTGTGTTATTTTGCATTGTTGATGTGTATATTCTGAATCAAAGTGTCCATTGTGTTTTGAATGGCATGTGTTTGTGGTACAGTTCATGTGACACTAGTGTGGCACATACATACCATGCATTTAAAAGCTCACCTGCTATATTCTTATCCGAAACTATAGCGTTTCCAGGTGTTCTAAGCTGAAGTTTGTGTATCAATCTATAATTTGTTTATAGATTATCAGAGGAAATGCCGTTATTGTATTTGCAAGTCACAACACCTTTTTGTTTAAGAGGTATTAACCCTACCCCCCCAGGATGTATGTAAAATCGTATTGAAATTGGAGGATTTGGGACTGTTAGGGTTAATAACGCCTATGTGCCATATTCCACTGAGCTCAGTACAACTGCAAAAACGTCTTCTAATGTTAGTCACCAAATATAGTTTATATCAGCATTTAACGGATAGCTTTACCAGTGAGCATTGTATGAATTGTTGTATTGTGTATTGGTTGGGCTCAAACGAACCAAAATCTTCAAGCCCAGTGTGGTCTTTTTACTTCCTTTCCAACAGTATGTGGAAAACATCTTGTGGGTGTTGGTAACCGGCTTGCTGCAGGGCAAAGTGTACCAGCTAAACCTGTGCAAAAATCTGGGCATGTTGGAGCACCCAGCCCAGTACTTTTTGCCAGGGTCCGTCCGGAAGGCCAAAGTTGTCAGTGTGGACCACCAGCACCAAGTTTTAGAACTCACACTAGTTGGTGAGAAAAAGACATCAATGGAGTCAAGCCACAGTCCTGTTTCAAAGTCAAGAATTCCTAAACAAATGCTAACTTCAGCAAACTGAGTTTGACATTGTGATTAAATTCATGATTTCACCACTATTGGGGAAATGCTTCAGAGGTGGATTTTATAACTGAGATCAATGGTTAATTTTTGTAATGGCATGTTGTCTCTGTATTTTAAAAAAATGCCCTGGAATTTTCTTTCAAAGTTCCACCATTCTGCCTTGGAAGATGGAGTGTCGGAAAGGCTAAGGGGAAGTTGGACATTCAGTCCTCAGGGAGTGAAGAATTATGGTTTTGTGGAGTAACCAATGAAATCTCAATCTGGCCTCATATTTAGGGCTAGTAATAATAACTTGAAATCAGCAAGATTCTTCCGTCTCCTGTTCGTACAGGTAGTGGATCCACAGAACTGACCCCTGGCACGGTCACCAATGGCCGGATATTAAAGATACTGTCTGGCATTGGCCTGGTCATCCAGTTACCCTTCGGATATCGTGGTCGAGTCTTTCTAACAGACCTGAGAGACCACTACACAGAAAATGCACTGAAGGGCTACAGGGAGAAACAGTTTGTAAGGTACGTCCCAGAGCAGTAGCCCGTAAAGAGGGGCCTTAGCTAGGCATTTTTTTATTCGTGCCAGTCCTTCAGGAGCTTTTCCAGTAATGTCTTGCAATAATTTTTGCACCGGTTTTGAAAATGTGACACACTTTTCTTGCAAAATGTTCACTTTCTGAGACAGGTTAGCTGAAAATGTTAACTTGTTCCAATGATGTTCTGAATGCATGTGGGCTGATGTGTGAGGCCTTGAATTTCAAGTGATTACATCTAGGAAACCCTTCGTCGAGTTGACTTGATACTTTACAGATGTATTTACAATAAGTGTCTTTACATACCTGCTCGGTTCCAAAACAGAAACATTTTAACAATGAATTATGTACAAGACTCACTCTCCTCACATTGTTAGCAATGCATGACGGTCTGTCTCGCTTATGATGCTGAGAAAAAACAACCTCTCCACCTCCATGGACTTCCATTGAAGGTGGAAGAGCATTTTACCACTGCAGTTTCCTTGGTATGATGCAGCTTATTATCATATATCAAGGACTCAATGTCACTTTGAAGAGCCGTCTAAAGACTCGTCTTTTTTAATGCATAAATGTACAAATTTACTTTAACAAAGGTGTGGCTTGTATTTGCTGAAAAGATATTTGGCTCTCTGTGTATAGACTTTTTGTATATAATGTTTGAGCTTATGCAGAAATTGTGACTTGAAAAATTTTTTTCAGGATTGCACATGTCCCTTTTGTAAGGTTTTCCTTAGCTTTTTAAAGTGTAAATCATAATTTTTTGTAACCACACCTTGAAGTAGATATTTCTTTGGTTATTGCACATCGTAAATTTCTGTGTAGTATTATAATGTATTCTTGGCCGCAGATGCTGTGTTTTGGAGGTGGCAGACAAAGAGAATGTAGCCTTGTCAATGCGACCATCTGCTGTCAGTAAACACCATGATCCTGCCATTAATCCAGACATATCGTCCATTCAGGAGCTGTCAGTAGGAGATGTAGTCAAGGGCTATGTCAAGAACTTCACCAAAGTCGGTGTCTTTGTCAGGTACATTTCCTTATTCACTTGAGTGTCGAGAGATAAGAGTCTTCGGTATTTCACTGGTGAAACAACCTGCCTCTTAAGTTTTTATCCATTGCTTTTAGTTTATTCGTCCAAGCACAAGTAATTGCTGTTTTATTCACTCAGCATCCTTTTTGGTAGTAGTTTGGGCTGAACAATTCTTCCATCTGACTGAGTTGATGAAGATTAGTTGTGTGAGGAGAAAGGTGTTGAAATGTTCAACAGCAGGAGTAGAAGAAATCAGAGGATTTGTGTTTTTCCCCAAAGAGTTGACCCTAGAAGCCAAATTGCCCCTAAAATGGGGAAATCTTTCCAATTTGGTTTTGATTCACTGTGGTAAAGGTAAAAATAACATTTTGTATTTTGGGGACAGCAGGTCAAAATTCTGCCTTTGTCAGCTTTGTATTTTCTCTCTCCATTTATCAGTTTATCAAGATGGCTTTGTTGTTTGTTTCATGCATTGTGGATGTCTGTGAAGAAAACTTTGACTTTTGGAGGAGCCACCAACAAAGGGCTGGCTAGCTCAGTTGGTAGAACACCAATACAGTGTTATGGAGGTTGCAGGTTCAAATCCCTCTCTTGGCAATTTCTTTTTTCATATTTATAGTAAGAACCTTGTTGTTTTTCTGTATGGTTAGTTTGATGATTCATATTTAGTAAGCTGTATCCTCTTTTGCTTAATAGTTCTCCCTGCCCATGTACATTGTTGCTCGTTTAATCTTTGTTGGCAGCCTATCAAGAAAGCTGCAGGGCCGAATTCAGCTCAAGAACCTGTCAGTCTCGTACATCAAGGAACCAGAAGCATTGTTCCCTAAAGGCAGACTTCTTACCGTAAAAGTTCTCAAGTAAGAAACAATTTAAATACAATAAACAGAAGGATGAATTTTAGCCACTATCGGAATTTTTCAACATTCTGTTTTCAGGATTCTGTTAAAATGATAGAAAGGCATGCACTTTCCCCTAAGAAGTTTTTTTTTTGCTTGTGCATGTTGTATTGTGATGAATGTTCCTGTACTTTTATGCACATATTTCCACCCTGTTGATAATATGAATACCTTTTTTCCCCTTCTTGCAGCATTGATAAAAAGTCCCATAAGATTGAGCTGTCATCCTCTGGTTTAGATACAGGAGCAGATGACCCAGTACCCAAGCATCTCGGGAGTCCAAGTAAGCATAACTTTGGCTTATTGCTGGTGAGACTTTGAGGAGAGAATTCATAAGTCTTATGATATCCTACCTCCATTTAATGCCTCTGTACCAAATACTGACTGGTCCAGCCGTAGACTCCTTTGATTGTCTTTGTGTGTATGATTTATTAATCAAAATTATACATATTTTTGTTGTTATTTAATTCGTATTGTTCATATCAACAATTGATGATTTTTTTGCTTCGTTTGTCGATTCAACACATGTTTTTTGTGTTTTCAATTTCCATGCGTAAAATGTTGTCAGAACAGCAATTTTTGTTCATGAACATTTTTTTTGAAGGGAAGGGCTGATATAAAACATGAACAATGAATTTTCTCCATTTTATGCCTCAGTTTGATCAATTCTTTATCCAATCAGGAAAACTACCACCATATTTTTGTGGGAATTGCACACTTTCAGCTTGATATGCACAATTTCAGCTTTACTTTCCTTCTTTAAAAAGAGCCAAAGCCCAGGAAGAGAAGGCGTCAAGATTCACAAGGGAGCGATTTAGACAGTGGCTTGGAAGAACCGGAAACACTCAGTGATTCAGAGGTGGAGGTGAGCAGGAATTTCTTAAGGTTTACAAACCCAAATTAGAAACAGCCTTTGTTTGAAAATAACACAACACTGTCACAATGGACAAGAGTCCAGTGATTGCGCCTACATCTCTGATCAGACAAAATGACGTAACATGACCAGATGTCATGACTGCCCGAGTCTCTTTGTGCTCTTAGGGTCCAACATGAACACCTGCAGTGCACTAGCCATCCAGGTGATGGTCAAGTTACTCGTAGAAAACCTTAACGTCAGCAAGCATGTTTTTAGTCCTTGGGTGAACAATGGTAAATTTATGTTAGTCAAAGGCAATTAACTCAAGCATGCCTGAGACGAGATTGCACTTACAACAAGCATACATTTCTTCAATCCCGTAAGAATAGACACATTCCTATGAAAGAAAACTGACTTAATATGAAGTCTTATGACAACAACATGGATTAGATGAGCATTTTTATCAACTCTAAAGTGCGGAAAACCTTCGTCAACAGCATCTTCTCTAGAAGTATTATTCGAAAACATTGTTTCAGTTGTAATTATTCCAGTAAAATTCAGAAGGAAATCATAGGGCATTGTCAAGGAACACCAAACCACTGGGTAATTTGCTTTGTAATTTCATCACAGAGAATGTGCATGCCACACTGGTTGGCTGTGTGCCCTGTATGTGCCGCTCAAGGAGGTTTTGAAGATGAACAATGGTTGTTGCTGTGTTGCGTGTTTCAATCACTGTCAAACTTGACAGAGGGGTTTTTATTTTAAACTGAACAATGGTTGAACCCTAATTCAGAAATCAGAAGTGATACCGAAAAATAAAAAAAATTTCAATGAATATTTGAAGAATGTAACGGTGAAGAGCCCCAAACAGCAAGAAAAAAATGAAGTCAAGTTTAATGCAAATTACAACTTCCCTTCTCTTGAAAAAACCCTCAGTTAAAAAAGAAGACACCAAGTCACAAAATTGGAAAAAAACTGTTGGTATTTAATTTAATTTTTCATTATTTATGAAAATCCTTGTCCAGTCAAAAAAAGAAAACAAACATAAATTCGGAAATTCAGTGCTGCTCTCCTTTGTATGCCCTTGCAGTACATGTATGAACTGGTTCTCGAGTAAACTTTGCATACTCGCGTGCAGTGGCGGCCACCAGCATGTGTGAACATTGCAGGGCCAGTTGGCAGCCGACACCTCACATTATTTTGTGCGATGCAGTCATGCACATGTTTGTCCTCGGCTGCTTGATTCTGAGATACTTACATTGAATTTCATATATGTGGTGTGATTTAGGAAAACCCATCACCTGGTGAAATTGGTCATTTTTATTTTATATACACCAACTTAATGAGGAGACAGTGTTGTTTTTCAAGACTGTGTAATGCATCATTCTAGGTTGTTTATAACTTGAGTTGTGCTCTTGGTATTCCAAACTCAAGTTATAAACACCCTCAGCTGACTTCACGTTGAGAATCATGCTTCAAATTTTTGATAAAAATTCAGTAAGATTAGACTAAAGGTTCTTACTTAAAGATTGTAAGTTAAAGTTGTACAATTGCATTAAACAAAAATTATTCAAATATTAACATTGAAAAGGTTAAAAAAAAATCAAATTGTCAATTGTCAAAGACTATTTTGCTATTATCTTGGGAACATGTGCGGTGAGATCCGATGGGTTTCCAAAAGGTGTCATATATTTTTGATACGCACATCTGCTCATTTTATCAGGGGCGTGTAAAGACAATCAGTCGTAATTGAAAGGGTAAGCAGATGTACAGACTGCTATTGATTTTTGACAAGAAGACAGTACAAAACTGTGCTTTTACTACATCCTCTTTTCATGGAAGTGCACCAGTGTCCATTGATGAGTCGTGTCTAATACAAATTCTCTGTTGCACCCATTCTGCACTCCATTCTGACAAATTATCTAGGGGGGCTAGCTTTTTATTTATAGTACGTGATCCACTACAATGCTGCAGGTTGTACATACACCTCGACAAGACACACCAGTGGCCAGGCTACAAGTCACATCTGGGTTCACTTGGGACACTAACCCGAAGGTGAAAGATGCGAGAGGCGAGACGATGTTCCTAGGTGATCAGGAGGACTCCGGCAGTGATGAGAGTGAGGCGGAGGCGGAGCAGACCAGTCTAGAGGAGGTCAGTTTGAAATCTGTATGCAAATGCCATGACCCCCCCTTCCCTGTTCCTGTTTTAATTTTCACCCAGGATGACATCAGAAGACACAGGGATTTGCTGTGTCGAAACGCAGAGGACATTTAAAGACTTTCTAGCAAATGCTGCAGTGCTGTGTGATGTCTACACACCTCCCCATGCTCAAGAGATTCCCATTGAGATTTTACACACAGAAGCTCAAAACAGTCTGAGCATGTTTGGAGCCCTCAAGCGGCTGTGGACCAAGGCCAAGCATTGTAGCAAATATTGTTCTGTGACAAAGTTGCAGCATTTTGAAAAGTGGTTCTGTGGTAAGACATGCCTTGCAAATCTTGAACAAATGACAACTATAAAGGGTCAGAATTTGTAAAGCTCAACCTTTTTAAATGACTGTGGTTATGGTATCTTGTGATTTTTACCACACCTGGAATAAGTTTTGAGGTGGAATAATACCATAGGTAAGTGGTTAAATGGATGTCGTGGGACTGATGACTCATAGCAATGCAGATTCTAGTTCAAAGTTTTTCATATTGTCAGCTGACACAATCTGTGTTTCCCTTGTTCTCACTTGGAAGCCTCACACAGCATGCATTTGTGCTAAGTTTATGGAATGATAGCCCTGCTTGGTGTCCAGCAAAATTTTGCATGTACTTCAGTTAACTCCACCCGACCAGATTTGTCAAAACCTCACCTGGAAGTTTCAGAGGAATTTTTCAGAATTGAGGAAGCCCATCCACTTTTTACTCAGATGGTGCTCGGTATCACTTAAAACTTTAATTAAAAAGAAAGTGCCATCGAAATTCTGCACCGTGGTTGATTGTGGAAGGTTAAGGTGCATTCTGTATGTGATTACCTTACAAATTAGGATTATTGAAAATGTCAACGTTTGTCATTATGAAGTACATGGAAATGTGCAAATTTATTTTTCAATCACAGCCGCAGCCAAAGAAGAGCAAAAAGGAGAAACAAGCAGCAGAGAAGGCAGAGGAAGATTTGCTGTATAAGGTAGCCGTGTTTGTGACATTATTTTGATGGTAACTTTGAGTCCAAGTGTGGGCAAGTCATTCGTTTAAGTTTTAGGACGACATACTTGACTTTACAAAATTGAAAATTAAAACAATCACTTGAGATCCAACGAAACAAAATGTGAAGTACCTGCTTTTGAGACCTTGGAACCTGCACACAAATCTTGCACAGATGTAATCGATAAGGACTGTCTACCTTTTTGTACATCTACCCAATGCGTCCATTTTTATCGGGATTTGAAGAAAAGGACTTTATTGTGCCCTTTTTTTGTAAATGCAAACCCCCCAAAAAGAAAGAAATCCTTAATCTTAACTCCAACCCTCCCAGACCCTTCAAAATCCACCTTTAGACTTGGAGGATTTGCAAGATAAAGATATGTAATACTTGTGTACCATAACTTGCATTGAGCTCACTGCCAATTGAAAGTACCAGTACAGATTTCTATGTTGCGGAGAAATTTGGAGAAATCAGGAAGTTTCACAACAAAAATGGAGAGGCTAAAACACATTTCTTGGGCTTCCTGTTTCAAATTTTGGCTGGAAAAGCTCTAAGAAGAACTAGGGCTTTGAACATTGCTGTGGTATTCTGTAATCAGGGTTATCTGGCCTAATGTTGGATGTGTCCCAGCATGCCAGTGGTTATTGAAAGGTGCTGGTTGGACTTTGGATTTAATCAGAGGCCTTGTTTCCTTTCAGATGGAGCGGGAGTTGATGGAAGTCGACCGAACCCCAGAGACAGCCGAAGAGTTTGATCGCTTGGTCCTGAGCTCACCAGACTCATCGCTAATGTGGGTGCGCTACATGGCGTTCCACCTGCAGTCTGCTGAGATAGAGAAAGCCAGAGCAGTGGCTGAGAGAGCTCTCAAAACCATCAATTTCAGGTCAGTAAAAGTTAAATTTATGCCGTGTGTTACAAGTAATTGACCAGTGGCCAAAGTAAAGCAATGGCCCACGTTTTCCCATACTTGGATGTGTGAGTGCTCCTAGTCACAGTAGTCCGGCTTGTATATATATGTCACTCCGAGTATTGGGTTTTGATGAATTTTTAAGCTTTAAGCTTTGAAGCTTTAAGTCTAGCAAGACCCCTTCCTTGCTTCAATACTGGGGAAAGTGGCTGGTTTGACTCAAATATATCAGTGGAATGGAAGATGTCAACCCTAAAAGGGCAGGAGAAAACTGCCTGCCTCTGTACATTTTCCCCAGTACCTAGTGGCATATTGGGGGAGGGGATGGGGGACAGGTGGTCCCCATTGACCTAATGCCTTTTTCCTCCTTTTCTTGGGAGTGGAAGCACTTTTGAAATGGTACTACCACTGTTGAACTGTAGGGAAAGGAAGAAATAAATTTAGACTGTTTTTTTTTTTAAATCTCGTTTTGCTCTCTTCACCCAAAACCTGGATACGCCACTGCCAATATGGCAGAAATGTTTTTAGTAGCACCGTGCCTTCAGTAATTATTTGGCTGATACCTTGCAGTCATTTTGGCACTAATTTTTCTGAAAGTAAATCATACTCTGCATGCCAAATGTACATTTCTCCAAGCCAGGTACTCCAAATGGGTAATTTTTCTCACCAACATGAGCTCATTGCAAAAGTGAACATGTGAGAAGTGTGAGCTATAAATGGCTTTCGTAGCAGAACTGTTTGCAAGGTAGAAATAAAACTTCTCACATGTACTTGTAATTGACATCTTTTCTGCCTTCGTTATTCCTGTTTTCATTTTTTGTTAAGATTTTTTGATAAAAGGAAAGGTATCCTCGTGCTTTTTGTTTTGAAACCAATATTTCATGACTTTATTTTATGGTTATGCCACTGTAACCCCGGGATTCAGCTCCAATTAGCAGAAAGCAATCTTTAAACCCTTACCCCCTAGGGACAACCAAAATTATGCATTTATGCTTGTTGGATTCAGAATAGTTGGGGTTAATCAACTCCTTTTGGAATAAGGTGAATGTCTCGACTTAAAGAGTCTAGTCGAGAGCCCAGTAAATCAGTCTGGTATTGCAGGACACCATGCTGTCAACGTACAGAGAAATTTGAACAATAAATACAAACAAATACAATCCTGAAAATGCCAGTGGCTTAATAAAAAATGTAAAAGGCCAAGTTTCACAAAACCTTGAGGATTGTCAATATCAAGGTGAAGTCTAAGTACATGACCAAGAGTCTATAAAGTACTTGTGGCAGTCTTGGAGGGAGGGCAGAAGAGCTTGTCAGTTTCCATCAGTGATAAGATCACAAGAGGTGACAATCTCCATTGAAGACCCTGGACTTGCCGTTCTCAGTCCTCTGTTATGGTCCTGGGCTCCCTTAATGGTACAGGGTCCCTTGATGGTCCAGACTTGGTGCTTGGGTGGGAGCGCTCAGTTCTTGGTAACCACCTGAAATTCCCTGGTGGTGGGCCTGCATGACAGCCTAGGATGACTAAATTAACTCAAACAGAGAGCCCTAAAACAGAGAGTTCCATACGAACTAACATACATTGTCTCAAGGATGAACTCAGCCATACGCATCAGGCTTTACTATTTTGTAGTCATCTGTGCCCGAAATACAAAATGTCTTCAAGGCTTACATGACAAACACCCAGATCATGACCTAGTCGCATGATCAGCCTGGGCTTCCGTTGGTTAAATTTCAAATTGCCACACACGGTCTTGCACCTGATTGGTGATTCAGTAACCAGGCAGCTGTGACACTCAGCAGAAGTTGGTGGTTCCAAGCTCCAGTGAGATGTGAAACACAAGCAGGTATTTAGTGTACCCATATCCTGCTTATCCTGTGGATAAAGGTTGAGGAAAAGACATCCTCCACTCTTGTAGGAAGAAGGATAACCTAAGACCACATGTGAGGAAAGTACATGTAGGAAGAGATCAGAGATTTAATGCAGTGTTGGCAGGAAATGATCAATGTGGTTATTAAAAAAGAGGTCATCAGAAGTGAAATGAAAATATAGGGAAAAGAATATAAAGAAAACTTACCAATCAAAGCACGGTCATACCGGTAGCCGTAAAAACCAATGCTGAGTCAGGGTTACATCACAAATTGTACGTATGCTTAATGTAAACATTCAGATGCTCATTTCGTCAGACCGCTGCTTAGATTTTTTTACATTTTATCAATTAAATAAATTATTCAGGGTAGACAGAAATACATTTGAAAGGGAGTTACGCTTTTTTCATTAATGTTTGCTTTTGATATTGCTAAAGCATTATGCTATGGCTGTTTATAGCTAGGAAAGGGAACTGTGAAGTGTTGAGAAGGACAGGAGTGTTGCAACTGGTTTATAGTGTACATTTATTTGTAATGGTTCTATGTGTTCAATATCTGCTAAGCATGGGTTACCTAAACTGAATATTTCCCTTGATGCCTTTGGGCATTTTTTTGTCCTTTTACTAATAGCTTGATGCCCTCAATAAAGTTCCAAATTTGATTTTGTGCAAATTCTCGAATAAAAATTGGTTGGGGATACAATTTTTCAGGCAGAAATTAGTGTGCCATTTTTGACTGGCTCCATGACTTAACTTCATTTGTTCTGAATGACGCAATAGTACACAAAGAACTAATTAAATAGGCATTTCCAGTGGCACATCTTGGGCTGGAAGTGGCATGACCATGATGACTCAGGCATGGTATTTTATAATGCCCAACTTACGGAATAGTGGAACTTATTTTCAGGATACAATTTGATTATAGACTGGTCTCACATTGCTCACAGCATGTATTTGTATCGGTGGTTTGTGTCAGATTTTTACCTCAAAATGTAGATTTGCTCCCTTGCTTTTATATATTTTGTTAAATATCAAATTGTGGCTGAAAGCCGATTTGCATGGCTGTTACATGTGATTAAAAAGAGAACAAATAGATACAAGTATAAACATTAAAATTAAGAAAACAAAATAAGAGCTTCATAATTACAGTCATTTGCAAAAGTTTAGGACCACTCATAGAAAATGCATTAACCTGAAGGAAAACCAAACTTAAACCAATCAATCATGGTAACTTATGTTTATTTTCAATGTGTAACCTTGGTACCTTGGTTGAACATTTCTGACTACATTTCCATGATTTGACATGTTAACAGTCTAATATTCAGTGTTCCCTCCTTTATTTCTGATTGCTTAGACTGGCTTTTTTCCCAAAGATGCCTTACAGACAAAATGTCATACAAGACCTGCCTTTGCAACAAATTTCATTCAAATGGGCATATAGCACTACCTTGAGGTTATGCACCACTGTAAAATCATGTTAAGTAATCAGTCAATGAGACAATGTAATGCAGGCCCAGTGACAGAAATACCAATTCCAGGCGGTCTTAAACTTTTGCAAATGACTGTATAGGGATACAAACGAATAAAATTGCTTTCAAATTAATACAATTTTTGAATTAAATAACACTCCAAAACAAGCAAATGGGTCCATAAAATTCAACTTAAGAGATCTGATCCAGGAGTTTTGTTGGAATCACTTTTACTATACCTGTTAGTTTAGTGATGGGGAATTTGATGCATGATGGATTGCCCATAGAGCAAGTGGGAGCTATTATTGGGTTGAAACCATTCCACATATCTGTCTAAATTTATGCATATTTCAAGTAATTGGGAGCAGAAATAGAGCCTTCTGTCTTGCAAAGTTTGGAGGCGAACATCTTTCAGCATTACTATTAATGATAGCCAAAAAAAGATGGGACCAAATTTCATGCCATGGTGGACACCAAATAGAGTGTCATCAAGAAGGTTATTTTCATTTTGTTGATTGCTTGTTATTAGCTACATGAAATTGTTTGACACTAAGCAAATTATACTCTGGCTTTGTACTTACAGTCGGCTCCTGGTAGGCAAAAATGGGACAAAGAGCAGACTTTATTAATAAAAAGGGGCAATGTACTCTCAGGAAAATTCTTAGTATTGTAAAAAATATATCATGAGCAAGTGTTTGGGAAAAAGCAGTTCGGATGTTACTGAGATATGATCAGTGCTTTAACAGTATGAGAGGCCTACCAGGTAAAGAGTGATTGTGGGGATGGATCAACACAGACAAAATTCTCACTTGACATTAGGTGTGAATATCAATTTCTTTTAAGGACATCTTCAATGACATTTTCATATCATGGAAATGAACTGGGGCTGCATTGTGAAAGCAAAGCCAGAATTCCATTGAATCTGGTGTCTGCTGGAAATTTGACAAAGGAGAAAATTGGTGGAAGGGTGCTGCCTTTCAAAGAGAAAAGGACTGGACTCTTTCAAAACAAGACTGACACTGTTAAGGGTGGCCTGGCTGGTGACAGTCACACAATTTTCCTCTGAACTTGGGTTCTGCCCTAGAATTGCATTCTTGCAGTGTGCTCATTAAGCTAGTTAGTCATTCCAAGTGTGCTTGAAGATATCGGCATTGAACACTTTTTTAACATCAGGATATAACATGGCAGATAAATCTACACTAGTGTGCTTAGGGCACTGGTCATCACATTTTAATCTATGTGTTTTAAGCCACTTGGGAATGCATGTGTAGGTTTGCAGGTAACTTAGACACCAAAACACATTGCACTCCACATTTTTAAAAATTAGAATAACCTTTACAGTGAAAAGACTCTCCCTTCATTCTCGCTGTGATTTTACCCATTTTATGTTACCCTGAATGTAATTTATTGTGGATGTGCGCATTGCAACTGAAAATGACACTGGCTTTTCCTACTGAACTTGTCGTCCTACCAGTACTGATGGTGCCTCCAGTGGCAATTCTGAAACTGTGCAGTCTTTTCCATGACAGCAAACCTGTCATCTGACATTCTGAGTGTTGGTCATTTTTTTTGTCTTGGTTACTGTAGAGAGGAGCAGGAGAAGTTGAATGTCTGGGTGGCCTTCATGAACCTTGAAAACCTGTATGGCTCAGAAGAGACATTGCTCAAGGTGTTTGAGAGAGCCCTGCTACACTGTGAGCCGTTGAAAGTCTTCCAGAACCTGGTCAGCATTTACTCTCGCACTGGCAAACTTGAGGTAGGCTCCCAATGTCTTGCTGTGGTCTCCGGAAACGCCCAAGAAGAAATGTTTATTCTTGCATTCACAAATTGCTGAAAGCAGGTTGGGGCTGGAGGTGGGGGGTCATTAATGCTCTGGGAATGATCTGTTGAGGGCACTGTGCCATGTTAGAGTCAAGCACATTGTAATGTCGTTTCCTCGACAGTGATGATGCATAAAAACTGGGCCAGGTTCAGAGCGTTGCTGAAACATTTGCTTAAGACCAAAAAAGTACATGTNTTGGTATGCTCAGCAAAACAGGCTTAATACCAACAAAAGTGCCATGCAAATTAGAGTATTTTTGCTTAACCCCAAAACATGCTAACCAGTATTTACTTCTTAGCAGTTCCATGTGCCCTGGCACATGGAAGTCAAGCTCTGTTGTGTTCACATGAGGCAATTCACCAACTTACATGTACATGCAACTAAGTGTACAATGCTTTAGCAACATGCACGTTGGTACTTGGTTCTTGCTACTCACTCTGAAACAGTACAGAGCAAAGTTACATACGGATCCCATTTGTTTTATTCACAAGTCGATCTTTATGATGGACTGTGAAACAAAGCTTTTCAATATTCATTTGAAGCATAAGTTATGTTGATTATAAATAGATGGCATAGGTTAATCTCTGACGTTATGGATGAAAAGTCAAGTTGTTGATGGTCCGGTTACAAAACAGTCTGGTACATTCTGTCTCAAGACCACATGACAGATACAAAAGATTCAAGAAGTGTGATAAATCAGTATCTTGTTGATAAGGTCTGTCCAGTTTTCAATGAGAACATAATGACTATTTTTTTTCTAGACCCCTTCTGAAGGGGTACAAACTGGAAAAGGAAAATAAAGCTGGTGTTTGGCTTGGGTATAATCAATTTCATATTTTGAAAAAAAATCATACAGGGTCCCCTCACCCCCTCCCCTATTTGTACAAAGATATTAAAAGAGAATGGTTCCTTAACATGTCAGTGTCTGTGACAAGAGCCTGACTTGATTGTGTCAACCAGTTTGGACCTCTTCTGGGATTTGTTCTGCACCAAGAAAATTGAATTCTATTTAGCATTTGTACGTATCATTTGGGCACTTTGTTGGACAGTCAGCAGAACAACTGTACAAAAGCATGGTGAAACGCTTCAACCTGAAGAAGGATGTGTGGATCAGTTACGGTTCCTTCCTCATGCAAAATGGTCGGCAGGATGACGCCCACAAACTCATGCAGAGAAGCTTCAAGAGCCTGATGCCCAAAGAACGTAAGTTGAACAAGCAGCATGTGCTTGATGTCCGTGGTACCAGATGAAAGGCACTGGATTGTTACATCTTCCTGCCAGCCCGACAAACTAGGACAACTGTGTTTTGATCTCAAAGTTTTATTGAACTACTGTAGTGCCAACTCCTCATTCCTTGCTCAAAGAAGTTTGACATCCTTCAGAGCAAAGACATTTCAGACATTCTTTTGCGTATTTGTGGAAAATAATGAAAAAGCAAATTCCGCATGAAGTGCAACATGTAAGTGCAATGTACGCAAACCTTTGAGCACATCTCCTATCAGTAGCACAATGCATTAAAAAAAAACAAAAAAAATCATCTGCATTGCATGTGCACATGTGTTCATGTTGTTTACACACAGCAAAAAACATGCTCAGTTACTGATTTCGTGTTTGTGTTTTTGCTGTATTGGCTTTGTGGACGCATCATTTTAGAATAAAGATGGAGATATGCAAATAACCGTTCAAAAGCCGCACAAAAATTTGGAGTTTTTCATTGGTTGGCGTGCGTCAACATGGACGTACCCAGCAGGCTTCACTTTGCACAGTGAAAAGCACTGTAATTCTAGAATATAGCTCTGAGTTTAATCTAGTATAGTGTGTGGACAACCAAACTTCCCTTCCAGATGACGTGACCGTCTTGGTTGATAAATTATTGCTGTTGAGTCAGCTCAACTGAGGGCACATTTGTGCTCAAATAAATACAAAATAACATCATTGTTAGAAGTTGTGCATGGTAGCCAGTAACTTACTTTTTGTTGTGCTAGGATAAGTATGAGCAAACCTTCTTACAACATTTTCTCCCAAATGATATGCATACCGCATCCTTAATTTTTGTTTCTTTTTACAGACAATGACGTAATTGTCAAATTTGCTCAGATGGAGTTTAAGTTTGGTGAAGCAGAGAGGGGCAAGACAATGTTTGAGAATATCCTGAGCAACTACCCCAAACGAACTGACATATGGTCAGTCTACCTGGATATGATGATCAAGCAAGCAGATGTGAAAGCCATTAGGTAAAAGACCTTATTAATCTGGCCAGAGTGTTCTGGAAGAATAAATCCTTTTGCAGGGATTTTTGTTAGTATGCAAAACAAGCTGTTACTTGGTATAACTGTTACTGCATTTAGAAGAAATTGTTCTTACAATAGATGTGACCCAGTCTTGGTAATGACCTCAATATAATTTTCCAGGATTTTTTGTTAATATGCAAACTTAACAAATTAATATCCAAAAAGTAGCTTAATATGTTTGTCTAGCCCCATTTTTGATGTGCCAAGTTGCACCCAATCCCAAACTATTGTAAGCAATTTTTATCGATTTTTTTTATTTTTATCGATCATTTTAAGTTNATGGTATGCTCAGCGAAACAGGCTTAATACCAACAAAAGTGCCATGCAAATTAGATTATTTTTGCTTAACACCAAAACATGCTAACCAGTGTTTACTTCTTAGCAGTTCCATGTGCCCTGGCACATGGAAGTCAAGCTCTGTTGTGTTCACATGAGGCAATTCACCAACTTACATGTACATGCAACTCAGTGTACAATACTTTAGCAACATGCACGTTGGTACTTGGTTCTTGCTCCTCACTCTGAAACAGTACAGAGCAAAGTTACATGTGGATCCCATTTGTTTTATTCACAAGTCGATCTTTATGATGGACCATGAAACAAAGGTTTTTTAATATTCATTTGAAGCATAAGTTATGTTGATTATAAATAGATAGCATAGGTTAATCTCTGAAGTTATGGATGAAAAGTCAAGTTGTTGATGGTCCGGTTACAAAACAGTCTGGTACATTCTGTCTCAAGACCACATGACAGATACAAAAGATTCAAGAAGTGTGATAAATCAGTATCTTGTTGATAAGGTCTGTGTGAAAAGAGTGTCTATTTTAGTGAGGGCCCCTTTTGAAGGGGTACAAACTGGAAAAGGAAAAAAAGATGGTGTTTGGCTTGGGTTTTATCAATTTTATATTTTGAAAAAAATCATACAGGGTACAAAGATATTAAAAGAGAATGGTTCCTTAACATGTCAGTGTCTGTGACAAGAGCCTGACTTGATTGTGTCAACCAGTTTGGACCTCTGTTGGGATTGGTTCTGCACCAAAAAAATTGAATTCTATTTAGCATTTGTACCTATCATTTGGGCACTTTGTTGGACAGTCAGCGGAACAACTGTACAAAAGCATGGTGAAACGCTTCAACCTGAAGAAGGATGTGTGGATCAGTTACGGTTCCTTCCTCATGCAAAATGGTCGGCAGGATGACGCCCACAAACTCATGCAGAGAAGCTTCAAGAGCGTGATGCCCAAAGAACGTAAGTTGAACGAGCAGCATGTGCTTGATGTCCGTGGTACCAGATGAAAGGCACTGGATTGTTACATCTTCCTGCCAGCCCGACAAACTAGGACAACTGTGTTTTGATCTCAGAGTTTTATTAAATTACTGTCGTGCCAACTTCTCATTCCTTGCTGAAAGAAGTTTGAAATCCTTCAGAGCACAGACATTTTAGACATTCTTTTGTGTATTTGTGGAAAATAATGAAAAAACGAATTCCAAATGAAGTGCAACACAATGTACGCAAACCTTTGAGCACATTTTCTATCAGTAGCATGATGCATTAAAAAACAAAAAATCATCCGCAGTGCATCTGCACATGGGTTCGTGTTGTTTACACACATCAAAACAACATGCTCAGTTACTTGTGTTTTTTTCTGTTTTGGCTTTGTTGATGCATCATTTTAGAATAAAGATGGAGATATGCAAATAACCGTTCAAAAGCCGCACGAACATTTGGAGTTTTCTATTGGTTGGTGCACAAACATGGACGTACCCAGCAGGCTTCACTTTGCACAGTGAAAAGCACTGTAATTCTAGAATATAGCTCTGAGTTTAATCTAGTATAGTTTGTGGACAACCTAACGTCCCTTCCAGATGATGTGACCCTCTTGGTTGATAAATTATTGCTGTTGAGTCAGCTCAACTGAGGGCACATTTGTGCTCAAATAAATACAAAATAACGTCATTGTTAGAGGTTGTGCATGGTAGCGGGTAACTTACTTTATGTTGTGCTAGGATAAGTATGAGCAAACTTTCTTACAACATTTTCTCCAAAATGATATGCATACCGCATCCTTAATTTTTGTTTCTTTTTACAGACAATGACGTAATTGTCAAATTTGCTCAGATGGAGTTTAAGTTTGGTGAAGCAGAGAGGGGCAAGACAATGTTTGAGAATATCCTGAGCAACTACCCCAAACGAACTGACATTTGGTCAGTCTACCTGGATATGATGATCAAGCAAGCAGATGTGAAAGCCATTAGGTAAAAGACCTTATTAATCTGGCCAGAGTGTTCTGGAAGAATAAATCCTTTTGCAGGGATTTTTGTTAGTATGCAAAACAAGCTGTTACTTGGTATAACTGTTACTGCATTTAGAAGAAATTGTTCTTACAATATATGTGACCCAGTCTTGATAATGACCTCAATATAATTTTCCAGGATTTTTGTTATTATGCAAACTTAACAAATTAATATCCAAAAACTAGCTTAATATGTTTGTCTAGCTCCATTTTGATGTGCCAAGTTGAACCCAATCCCAAACTATTGTAAGCAATTTCTATTGAACATAATTTGAAAATTGTATTTTTTTCTGTTGTTGGAATGGTTCATTGACTGTTTGCATTAGGCTGCACTTAGTTTCCACATTTCAAAAGGACATGGCCTCGTCCTTCAGAGTTGTGATCTGTGATTTCAATCTAGCTCCTGACCTTGTCTTGTGTCCTCAGGCAGACCACTTCACCACCACTTGTCTCCCCTTACCTACAGCACTCCATAGATACTCTTCTGCAGGTACTGCGTGCCAAGGAAACAGGATGGCCCAGTCAGCCATCCGAGCTCCAAGTAGTGACTGTATCAGCCTGCACAAAATGTACAGATTGCTCTTTCTTCTGATCAATACTTTTGTAAGGGGACGTCTCACTGGAGTCCTGTTTCTATATTTGATTCCATTCTCAATCCATGTCATACAGGCACCTGTTTGAGAGGGTCATTCACCTCAGCCTCTCTGCCAAGAAAATGAAGTTCTTCTA